AGCACATAATAACAATCCAGGCCTACCCCCACCCCCACCCCCTCAAGAGGCAGAGAGGCCGTGGGGAAGGAAGCTGTGCTTCTCCCCGTGGGCTGGGGCCTGTGGCGTTTTGTTGGCGCGGCTGAGGGGCGCTAGTTATGCGCCTCCTCACCGCTGCGATTTATTTGTCCCGCTTGCTGGGAGCGGCTGGGTGCTGACAGCCCTGCTCTGGACCGCTCTGGAGTCTCGTAGGAAGAAAAGTGAGTAATGGGTGTCAGCGTCCTCGCGGATAAGCCCCTGCGCTTTGGAACGCAGCTACCTCGCTTCGCCGTGCGCGGGACTGTCCTGTAGTGAAAGGGGAGGCCGAAGCTGCAAAGTTAGTCTGGAAGTTCGTAGTTCCTCTGGAGTCAGGTTAATTACGCTCGTTCTCAAAATCATCCTTCCTGCATCTCGATGTTTTGACTCCGTGGTCATTGCTAGGTCTGTTAACGGAGATGCGTTACCCGATGGCGAGTGGTGACTACTAGAAACCGCCTTATGAAATAATGACCATGAAGGTTTTTTTCTAAGTGTCGACGATAGGCACAAGTTAGAAATCCTGGATGTTGAATTATTTCCTAATAGTATTTCAATTCACTTAAGGCTTTACCTGAACGAAAGAAAATAACTTCGAAATAACTAGAATTTCTCTCTGTTCTACTTTTTCTTTCTGCCCCGCCTGCAAGATCTTATTGACAGAATTAAGACAAATCCTTGATTAAAGAGTTCAGACTCGAAGATTTTGAGGAAACAATTGGCTGGTGAAAAAGCTTGTGAAGGCACTTTCCAAGTTTATATCACTCATATATTTTAGGTTTCAGTGAATGAATTGTTTCATGCTTTGTTGGAATTACTGCAGAAAAGGAAGATTGTAATGGTAATGCTTGGTCATTGAGAGCTTTGTAGTGATCAGTTGGGCCCCTCTTTCATAAGCTTGGGTTGGACATCAATGTGGCAAAGACATACTGTCCTTACCTTTCATAGCCTAAGCCTGAGGCTACCATGGATTAGCTGTAAATCAGAGCATGTATGTCTTCTAATGAAGAGATGATAATTGGGAGGGAAAAAAAATCTGAAATTAATTTTAATACCCCTTTGTATTGTTTTAGCTTGTATTGTTTAGTTACAAATTGTTATTTGTAACATTTTGCAAATGTAAATTTGTAACTTAGCATTTTATGTTTAGTTTTCTAACATCTACCTTTGTTGTTCTCTGCTGATGATACAGTTGAGTCAATTTTCTGTCTCATTCTAGACCAGAAATAGTGAAGAATAGTTTCACATTATTTATAGTCTTCTAGACTGTGGCTAAGAGAGACTGGTGCACAGAAGAAATGTTAGCAAAGTACTTTTGGGTCCTTAAAAAGAGGGTCAACTATTCACGGAGCTAGGGATCTGTGTTTCACCTTACTTTGTATATTATTTCCATCTTGACCCTGATCTGGTATTGCGGAGAACGCTGTTGAATAGGATTTGCTGTTCCCTCCCACCTCTCAAGCAGTTCTTAGTCAAACAGTTTAGAATGCTGTGACAGAATCAAAGAGAGGCCTGTAACTCAGCATTCCTGCTCATAGACGTTTTAGGGGGAAAATTAGATCATCAACAGAAAAATGTGAAAGTGTATTTCAAGCAAAAGGCATTTTATATTTAAATATGGGCCAGTAAAAGTGTGATCCATATAGGAAACTGCAAGTAATCACATTTTATCCCAACTCTGATATTTAAGAGGGGAAAAGTTCCTCAAAGGTGGGATTTACATGATGTGATGAAAACTAGAGGAAGGATTTACAATATAATTAGATTTGCATAGAATTTTAACAATACTTATTAACTGCCACTTAACATTACAGTTACAGGTAACTTTATTCAAATGGTATCTCTTTTTGTTCAAGGAGCTATCCTAGATAGAGTCAAACAGAATTAATTTTGGGATATTTGTTTTTGGACCACGTGTGGCAAAGAACTGTACAAAGGGAAAGCCATATTAGAAATCCTGTATTTATTTTCCTCCAATTTACTGTTAATAGCAATAAATATTTTGAGGCTGTAATGTTGGAAAAATCAGGTTAGAAGCAAACTTCTGAAGAAAGGTGTGAATTACAATATATGTATAATTTAAAGGTTATTGGGTGACTTTTACCAGAAAACAGAATAACTTAGTTGAAACTCTGTGTTCTGTTTCAATAATATCTCTGTTACATAATATTGTAAGCAAACAGTACATATTCTACTCACATTCCATTTGGCTGGTCATGTGACCTGTATAGATAGCATGTCAGGTGGGGTACATTTCCTGCCCACACTGTATTTTAGAAGGAGAAGAATGGATTTTAGTTAACAATTGGTTATCCATCACAAAGTTTCTCAAACTTGGCTGCACACTGAAATCTTCTAGAGAACCAAGAAATTAATGGAGCCTTGTGTCAGAGATCCTGGTTTAATTGACTGTAATGGTATACCTGGGCAACAGAAGTTTTAAAACTTCACCCATGTGATTCTAACATGCAGTAGTTTAAAATTCACTGTTCTATGGTGCCACCTTAAAGGTTGATTATGGTAAAATGTTTATAAAATATGCTCAAAATGATGGTAATAGCAGCTGTCACTTGTTGAATGGGTTCTAAATTTTGTTGCTGTGCTGTTATATTTCCCTAACTACAGTCCTGCTATCAGTCTCATTTTAGAAATGGGAAAACCAGCATGAGAGGTTAGATAATGCCCCCATTGCCACATAGGTAGCAAAAGACAAAGCTTGAATTTATCTAGGAAAGTCCATGTTCACTACCTTTAAGTCACAAAGCTTTTCAGATGTGAGAATATCATCAGTTCCTTGTTTGGCTTTGAGAGTTAATAATTCCCTAAATTACCGAATTAGTTTAGGATTACCTTATAAATTGAGTAATCGGTCTAATTCCCTCCCTATGTCCTACCTTACTCCCATGCTCTTTGCTTTGAGGAGCTCCACTTTCATAAAGGAATGTAGTGTTATTTGCACTCTTACTCTTATCCATCATACTCTCATACATGGTAAGAACAGTTCTGGGATTATTTTGCTAGTCCCTAAGCAAAACCAAATTTCCTCCAGAAATCTAGCCTTGATAGACCAACCCTAAGTTTACCTGTAGGTCTGTGAGAATAAAGAAATTATGGTTACAGGCATTGAACTTTGGGTTGATATGTTATTATACAACATACTTGTGATGATAGTTACCTGATGAGATGGCATAACCTATCTTCTCAGAGTTCCAGCAGAGCGACCCAATTCTGGGTTCCAACCTGACCCCTGAGGAGAACTTCTTATATTATTCTTATATATGATAAGAAAGGAGATAAGATATTTGAATCATAGTTTAAAATAGATATTTATTGGTTATAGACTGTCACTAGTATTCATAAACTGTGCATAGATTAATGTATTGACATCCTTATAATTAAATCAGTCTGACATAATTTGATAGACTTCTTGTAGCTATGTTTAAATTTGCCATATCCATTATAGTAGTCACTATTCACAAATACTTTTTGAGCACTTGATATTAGTGATAATAAAGAGTTGAGTTTACAGTATAATTTTATTAGTTAAATAGCCACATGTACTTTATGAAATTATACACAAGAAACAACATTCTCCTTTTGAGTCAAGACTACCGTGTACCTAAATAAAAGTTCCATCAGCAGGGAAGGGTGAGTAGATCTTAGGTAGGTAAGTAGTTTTATTTTAGTTTCTTTTATGGCCATCTGTCTATTCAGATTTTCTATTTCTTGAGCCAATTTTTATTATTTATATTTTGTTTGACAATTTTACATATTGTCTCAGTTTATACATATTATCTCAGTTTTCAAGTTTATTAAAATAAACTTGCTATTAATAGCCCCTGGTTTGTTTTTGTTTTTAAAATAAGCTTTAAGGTATAAATTACATGTAATTCAGCGCATTTAAATGTACAATTTGATGAATTTTGACAAATGTGTGCAATCATATAATTACTAGTAGAACATTTCTGTCACCCTAAAGCTTTCCCTTCTGCTCCTTTGCTTCTATCACTAGGTTTTTGTCTTTTCTAGGATTTCATCTAAATGAAAACATATAGTATGTAGTCTTTCAGATATTTCTTCTTTCACTTTGCATCATGATTAAACACTCACCCATGTTGTTGTATGTGTCAGTTTATCAATTAGTACATTACATTTACCCATTCTCTAGGTGATGAACATTTTGATTGTTTGACTTTTATTAATAAAACCCATGTTTTCACTTCTCGTCAGAAAATATCAACGAGTGGGATTACTAGGGCAATATATATACAAAATGTGCAGAATTTTTCCAGGTGTCTAATGTATCAGAAATGTACCCTCAGTCTTAAATTTTTACTACTCTATTTCATATACAGTTTCTTGTTGTGATTTGTGAATTTATTACTTAAATGAATGATAATGTTGTAGGCATTTTCCTGTTTTTGTTTTTTGCTTGTATGTCATCTTTGGTGAATTACCTGTTCAAAATTTTGTTCAGTTTTTAGAAATAAAGTTACTTTTCTTAGCTATTGATATGGAGAGTTCTTTATGTATTCCACATACAAATCCACCATCAGGTCTTTGTCTTAGGAGTGTTGTCTCTTATCTTTGGCTTGCCTTCCATTTCCACAATAGTGTCTTTTGAAAAACTAAAGTATTTAATGTTGATAAAGCTTTATTTATTATTTTAGTAGCTTCTGCTTTTTGTGTTAAATTTATTTTTGCCTAATATCACTTAGTTTCTCTCCTGGTTTTTTGTTTGTTCCCAAAATTTTTACAAATTTAGTTTTTATATTTCAGATTATCATGCATTTCAAGTTTTTTTAAGGTAGTTTGAGGAAAAGGATGCGATTTACTTTTTTTTGCATCTGGCTAGCTAATTATTGAAAAGGAAACTCTTTCCCCATTGACTGTCTTTGAATTTCTTTTCAAAAATCAATTGGCCATACATGTGTGGATCTGTTAAAGGACGCTTAATTCTGTTTCCCTGATTTATGTTTATCTTGATACCGTTGTCCCGTTGTAGTGATTACTATCACTGTAGGTCCTGGAGCCAGTATCTTTGTTGTTTTCTTTATAAAATAAAAATTCCTGTTGAGATTTTGAATTTGATGAAATTTGTACCAATATTAAGGAATTCATATCTTGATAGCTCATTTTTCCAGTTCATAAACAAAGTGTGTAGTATACTCTATGACACTATTAAAATATTTTTCTTCCCATGTAGCCTTGAAAATAATCCAGAATAAACAGGTTTAACCCCCCCTTTTTTTTTTTATAATTATCAGAGAAATTTTAAAAGAGGAGAAAAGGTCTGTTTGCATTTGCATATATTTTTTCATTCAGTATGCTTTTCATTCCTTATGTAGGTAGAGTTCCTGTAGTATTATTTTCTTTCTCCCTGAAGACTTTAAAATTTCTAAATTCAATACTCTAGAAGGTCTACCTTACTTTAGATCTACAGGTGATAAAATTTTCCTGGCTTTTATTTGTCCTTTCCCCTCTACCCCCGCCCCCTTGCCTTCTTGTTTTGAAAGCTTTTTTTCTGGGTTTAAAATGTTAGTTTGGGAGAAGTGTCTACATCTGAGGAAATAATTAACTAAAGAGATATTTTTGCTTTCTAGCAATTTAATCATATACCTTTTCTTGTTACCCTTGAGTGTACTAGAGGTTGGTTTCTTTAAGCATCTTGTTTCTTTGGGTTTATAGTTTTTATCAAATTTGGAAAAGTTTTCATGCATCATTTCTTCTATTTTTTTTCTTCCCTTCTCTACCCTTTCTACTAAGATTCTGTTCCAAGTGTGCTAGACTGCTTAACATTGCCCTGTCGGCCTGTGGTGCTAAATGCCTGCCAGTTTCCACTTTGTTGCTCACTATTATCTTTTTTTGCAGCCCCAGGCCTAGTTTGATTTCTAATACCAAGTCCACCACCATTTTTGTATGAAACCCCTCTTAATGCTTGCATCTTTTCTGCTAATACATTTATATTGTTGTTTCACTGTTCATTTTTATTCCCTCTGTTTATTATTAAAAAATGCAATATAGTGGCCTGCTGTTACTGCAGGAGTAAGTCTCAGTGCTATCAAGCTATCACTGGCCACTGTGGCATGAGTTCCATCCCCAGCCGTGGAGCTGACCCATATGGTGCAACAGACCTCTCCTGTCTCCCCTCAGCAGGGTATTTCAGTAGATCCAACTGTTCTGCTCCCCACTCAGTCCCTGGTAAATTCTCTCACCCCAGGTTCCTCTAGCCTACACCCCACTTCTCGTATGCATAATAAATAACAAAAGAATGCAATAAAGTTTGTGGTCATCTGAGATTTCCCCATGGTTTGGTTTGTTTTTAAAAAGGACTGTGTGTTCCTGAATTGTTTCTCTAAACTACATTTCTCATTCTTTCCTAGATTTGGAACAGGGTGGTTAGGGATAGAGGTTAATAGGAGTAGGTGGCTGTAGAATACGTTGTACTCAAGTAAGCATTGAGAGATTTTCCTTATTGTCATGCTATTCACTAAATGTACTTTTAGAATTTATATAAAAATTAATGATTGTTAAATATACCCATTGAAGACCAGTAAGACTATTAGAATTTATATGATACTATTTATGGTCATTGTGCTTTTTAACCTTGCCTTAATTAAAAAAAAAAAATCCATTGCTTTGTGTGTATCTGAAGGTTTCATGTTATATGTGTGAACATTTAGTTGATGCTGAATTTCCCATCTGAGTACTAAAGTCCCCTCTTAGAGTGCCTGTTGTTACATTTGTTTTCTAGAGTTCACATTTATCAACCAAGAGAGGCTGAAAATGAGCAGCCGAAGGAAGCGGGCTCCTCCAATGAAAGTAGATGAAGAAAAGCAGCAGCAGCTTTGCTGGAATATGCATGAAGACAGAAGAAATGAACCTCTCACCCCAACTGAGCATGGTCATCCCTGCCAAGGTTCAGATTCCTCTTCTCAGTACCTCATTCTAGATGATAGCCTCCAGGAAGAAGTGGCTCACATTGATAAGAAGAGGTGTGCAGAGATGGTGAGCATCTCAGAATCACTTAGTAAAGAGGAAACTGGTAGCATTTTACCCCCTTTGTCTGTAAAGCTGAATATCGTGATTTCTCCCCATCACTTCGATAGCTCTTGGAAAGCATTTCTAGGAGAATTAACTCTTCAGCTTCTGCCTGAACAGAGTTTAATTGAAAATATTTCTGAAAGGACTTTCACACTGATGAGTTCAGAGTCAAGCAATAAGTTCCTGATCTATGTTCCTTCAGAAGGGGAAGATGTAGAGAAACAAGAAAAAGGACTCAAAGAACCAATCAGTATTTGTAACAAAAGTATACAAGTGGAATCATCCTTCAGTGGTGAAATGTTAGACGATTTGGGGTGGCTGCAGAAGAAGAGAAGAATAAAACTTTGCCACAGGCAAGAAGGCAGTCACGTTATCAAGGTACTCATTTTCTGTAGTTTCTTCTCAAGTTTTTGACATTTACAGTCCATTTTGAAGTTATTTAGAAGTAAGGTCTGAAAAGGAAGCAGTAAGTTTATTTTATTATAGGGAATAACTTACTTGGAATTTGTAGCCTTTATAATAGCTTAAATATGTGCATGATAGCCAGCCAGTCGAGGCTGTCCTTTCTCATGGCTGTCTTGCTTTTCAGTTCTATTCTCAAAGACTTGTTTGGTGCTTACCATCTCTTCTGCTTCTTGTAGTGATTCTTTAATCTTTTCCCTGCTTGCCTTTTCATCTTCTTCATCTGCCTTGTCTCTGGAACTGTATAACATAGTGCAGACACGACACCATTTTTACTTCCTACAGAACTACATGTCATCTGTCTACTTCTGCTCTATCCTACTTTTTACTTTGTCCCAGAAATTTCAAATTAATGCATTTCCTTTATATCCTTTGCTGTCTTTCTGCATCTTTACTGTTGTTTTCACCATTCCTTCTGTTTGGGATTTTCCTTCTTCCCAATTAACTCCTGGTCATTCTGTACATTCAGCTCAGATATTACTTCATCTAGGCAAATCTTTTCTTAACCCCTGTGAATGGTGTTCCATAATATCTGATGCAAATGTTTGTTTTTGCTTTGGTCATGTGTAGTATACTTACAACTTAGTATACTTAGAACTTATATCTTTCTCCCTCACTAGAATAGACATTCATAGCCAATAAAATGCCTGACACCAAACATATTTGTAATAAATGAATAAATTAATATCATTCATTTCATGCTCTATTTATTACCCAAGTAACTTTATGTGAGTCACTTAGATGTTCTGATTTTAGCTTCTTTCTATATGAAATGTAAAAAAAAAAACAACAACAACAACACTCTTTTTACGTCATACAACTTGAGAAGCAGGTATTCAATTTAAGCAAATGAATTTTGTAAAATATGAACAGGTTAATATGCCTTCTCACTAAAACATGAAAGGAAAAGAAATTCTAAGTGGTAAATGCACCTTTGCTCAATTAAAAACTGTGTTAGTTCTCCCACATTAAAAAGCAATTACATTAATAGTCCCATTTATAGTTTCAGAATTGACAGAAGGAAATGAGAAAATTTAGAAATGTTAGATTTTAATTAATTCTCCCTTAAACAGTGAAGCTATGCAATCAAGTACTCCCTTCTTTGCTGATCGTGAGTGCCAAAATCGTGACTTTAAAATAATAAATATATGGCGTATATGTCAATGTTTTATCCATATCCCCAAACGCCTAGTCTTGATCTGTTCTGTTTTCTGATTCTAATTTTCATAAATATTGAAACATTTATCTATAGTAAATTGTCTCTCAGTGTACCCAGGGAGGTTACAAATAATAATCAGTATAACCTCATTACTTTTTCTTGCATAATGCTGGTGAAAGAATATGGGAATCTCAGTAAGTACGGAACAGGTTCAGGACAATTACAGCTATCTCAAGTTGACATCTCTCCATTTTGCAAATGGGATTATTTGGGTCAAAAGTAAACTAATTATTTTCCTTGTTTGTTTGACTCCTAAATATCAATGTAGTCAAAATATTTTGACTACAAAGTTTCATACATTGATTCACCAGAATTAAGATACCTCATGTTTATTAATGCTTATTTTCATTTATATTTTAGTTATTGATCTAGTGGTAGAGTTCCTAGATCTAACTGTACTTAAGAATCTTGGCATGGGCCTCCCTGGTGGTGCAGGGATTAAAGTCTCAGTGCTGTCAAGCTATCTGCAGCCACTGCAGCATAAGTTTGATCCCCAGGCAGAGGGCTGACCCACATGGCACAGCAGACCTCTCCTGTCTCACCTACTGCTTCCCTCAGCAGTGTGTTTTAGTAGATCCTGCTGTTCTGTTCCCCACCCTCTCTGGTAAATCCCTTCACCAACACCCATCCCTTTGCACCTCTGGTTTACACCAAAGTTCTTGTGTACATAAATAGCTAAAAGTAAATCTTTAAAAAGAATAATCCTGGCATGTGCGTCTCAATCTTTTTGGAAAACCTGCATTCTTAACTAATTTCATTAGTTACTCTAATGCTCTTCAAGTTTGGAAATCTTGACTTGGTAAGTAGAATTGATGTTCTGGTCATATTTGTTCCTAGTTAGGAAAGTAATGTTTTTTTTCTAGCAATTTGAACAGTGTGTTGCATACAATAAACACTTCATTTGTGAGTAATTTACTACTACTGAAAGTAAAAAAAAAATAGGTGGTTTTGGTAGCCATGTGTTTGGTGTTTGTGGGACAAATACTCTGAATAAAAACAGCTATGGGAAAATATGTTTTTTCATGTCCTTGAGGAACGATATAGCAATTAAAGCTATCCCTATGTTGGTTATTCTTTGTAGGTTGGAATTTATCTTTTGGAAGGTGGCCTAGCAAAACTAGACTTTCTGAGTGATGCAAATTCAAGAATGAAAAAGTTCAATCAGCTTATGAAGAGAGTGATGGAAAAATTATACAATTTTATTATTCCAGGTAATTTTAAAAATAAACTTTATAATTGTTATTACTTAGGAGTTGGGATTTCCCTCTAACTTCTTTGTACAGTTTTCAAAGAAAAAGCTAGTACACCATAATAAAAATTAAACAACCTTCATGAAATCACTGTCTGACGAATTATACTTACATGAGATACCCCCATTAATTTAATTGGTGTTTTATTTGCTTAACACTGTTCCTGACTATAGTAGGCAATCATGATAGGTTTGTGAGTCAGTATGCAGAGACTAAAGGCACCTGAATTTACTGCGTTTTTTGTTTATTTGTTTGTTTTGTTTTGTTTTGTTTGTATTATTTCTGTGTTTATTTTGCCATGGCTAGAGACTTTTGCTGGCCTTTATTCAGTCTCTCCTTTGCAGCCTAATAAATAATATCAAGAGCCTGCTTCCCTTAAAGATCAGTTAGCTTTGTTCTGTTTCCTGGAAGACATTGCATTCTTGGTCAGTACTATAGTTTTAGTGTTGTCTGCTTTTGGTTCCCAAGGGAGAATGTAGATGGCTTGATAAAGCCCACTAACACAGTTCTGGAAAAGCAGCTGAAATTCTCCAAATTCTGCACATACTGGGTCAGCACTGTGTCAAATGCAAATTATAGAACATATTCATACTGGAATATTTGTGAAATAAGTTTCTAAGTTTGATTTGTCTCTGCAGTACATTCTTTGCAAAGCTTCATATTATTAAGCAAATTATTTTGTATGTTAAAGACTTAGAAAGTTGAAGGAAAGACTTAGAAGAAGGAAAATTGCTTGTTTCAGAATTGAAAGGAATACTTCCAAGTACATCTGACATTTTGTAATTGTGATAAGAATCTTGCCTGCTGCTCCCCTCAACAGTGTACTTTGGCATCTGCCTGCTGTGCTCCCCACTCCATCTCTGGTGAATCCTCTCCCTGCCCCTGTACCTCTGGCCTGTATACCCCAGTTCTGTATGCATAAATAAATAAATATTTTTTTTTAAATTCCATTACTCTGCATTGAAAATTAATCCAGTTCAAAATCTTCAAAGGAAAACTTCAAATTTGTTGTCAATACTAGATATTATAGTAACAGTCTGAAATAATTAAGCATGTAATATCGCATTAACTGTAAAATTTTGAAAATCTTACATGACATTTTTTTTTTAAAGATTTCTTTATTCAACCAGAACTGGAGTACAGGCCAGAGGTGCAGGGGCAGTTAGAGGCTTCACCAGAGACAGAGTGGGGAGCAGAACAGGCTGACCAACGAAGTATACTGCTGAGGGGAGCAGCACGCAGGCCAGGAGAGGTCTCGCCATGTGGTCACCTCCGGGGCAGGCAAGGATCGAACTCATGCAGAAGTGGCTTAAGCTTCTTTGTGCTGTGCTTTACCTCCGTGCCACCAGGGAGGGCCACATAACATTTCTTTATTTAAAAAAGTAAATTATATATTTGGTGGCACAAGCTTTTTTACCCTAAAATATATGAGATAATGTCCTCTTAAATGCCTGTCCTTTTTCAGCATAGGGAATAGAATTAGAACCCTTGTTTTACTAGTCAAAAGATTATGTCTGTCTGTGGATTTTTGTTAAGATGTAGAAGTGAAATAAATTAACCTTTATAAACTGCAGATGATACTCATATTCAGTTTCTGAAATGTTTATTGAATATCTACAATGTACAAAGCACTTGCTAGCTGCTCTGAGGAGCTACAAAAACAAAAGATCCTCTGCCTTCAAAGAGCATTTCAGTTAAGTGGGAAAGGGGAAGATGATACATAACAGCTGCACTACTAGACAGTTTGCAGTGTATTGTATCTCAAGTATTAGTTTGCACCAGAACACTATTTCTTAGTAAAAATAAAAGAAAATGTCATGGAAAATGTAGATACCTTGGATGGGTATTTTTTGATGAGTAAAAAAGAAGGGAATAAGGCATTACAAGCACAAAACACAGCAAGGTACTAGAGTTGGTAGAGCTCTAAGCATGTTCCTGGAATAAGTATTGCTTGTAGTTGTCAAAGGTGAGTCTGGTTGTTTTGAGTTAATTTACTGTTTGATGTACAGATGTGTTGGAAGAGGATGAGGAAGAATCAGAGAGTGAACCAGAAGGACAGGACATTGATGATCTCTATCACTTTGTGAAACAAACACATCAGCAAGAAACACAATCCAGCCATGTGGACGTCCAGCACCCTGCACTGATTCCTGTGCTGAGACCGTACCAAAGAGAGGCGGTCAGTTGGATGCTTCAGCAAGAGCAATTCAAGCGTCTTCCTGCTAGTGGCAAGTATAAAATGATTAAAGAAGACAAAAGTGATCACAGAGGAATTATATTAGCAACATTATGGCAGTACATTTATCTTTAAGCAAATTATATTGCAAAGATCAGTGGTATAGAATGGTATTACTCTAACCAAAATTATTTTCTAAGAAATCCTTCAGAATTGAAATCTGACAAAATTCATTTATGAATTCCCTCATACACGAAAGTTTGAACTGAGTTTTTTACCAAAAAAAAAAAAATCTGCCTTAATTAGACCTTTAAAAATTGAAACGTTTTAGGACAATATTCCAATTAAAAATTGTTTCTAGAAATTGATTGGGTAGGAATCTTGCTAAAACATCACAATTTAATGATGAATGTTAGCAAAGTAGGGACTGGACTTGATCTGTAACTCTTTTACCACACAAAATAAATAAGTTGTCATTTATTTAGTATTTTCTTGAAAGTAGCATATTCACTCATTTATGCTGTTTCTTTATGAACATTTTTTAAAACAGATGGACACAAAATGAGATTTTTATGTGATTCTAGAAAAAGAAGTACTGATTTTTTCTTTCTATATAGTTTTGATTTAGTTAGTGATTTTGTTTCTCCCACTTGTTGAAGTTTACACTTTTTTATCCAACAAACTTCATTTTTCTTAAACTTTTTGTTTTCAAAAATAGATATCAATTCATAGCCAAAATTATTTCATCCCATCCCCCCCCCTTAGTCTGAGTTATTTTGCAGCTATCCCACATATCATATCATTTCCTCTGTTAATATTTCAATTGTTTTATTAGAAGGTGAGGGTTTTGTTTAAAGAGACATAAAGTCATATGTAGTAATAAATTTTAAAACAATAATGCCTTAACATCACCAGGTCTTTCTTTACTACTGTGTTCTCTTTTGTTCAAATCTGAAACCAGAAAATATCCCTAAAATTATTTACTGTCTATTATTTTCTTTTAATCTCATTCATTCTGTTTTCTGTCTTACAACTTGTTAGTTTCACATGAATTATATTATGTTTTCTTGAATGAAATTTAAGTAGTTTTAAGGGGTAACACATGTATAAACTGCACAGATCTTGAGACACTGTAGTATGTTTTACAAGATCTGTGCATGTATGTATCCAGCAAACTACTTAAGACATAGAACTGGACCTGTCCAAAAATAACCGGGAAAAGTAACCACAAGATAGCACCATACATCCCTCATGAGATATGAAATGTGGCTGTCCAAACTATTACATGCTACAACTTTAAAAAACACATTAGATTTGAAGTACCATAAAAATAGTAAAATATCTCATTAATAATTTATAGTCCTTGTATATTGGTGATAAAATCTTGGTTATATTGGGCTAAATAAAATGTTAAAATTAATTTTTTATTTTTCTCTTTTATATTTCTATTAGAGTGCCGACATAAAATATTTCCATCTGTCCAGAAAATTCCCTCATGTCCCAATCAGTTCTCCTGCCAACTTCTTCAGGAGGCAAGCACTGTCATCATAAATTAGTTTTGCCTATTTTTGAAACAATAACTAGTATGTCAAAATATGTACACTTGGGGTTATGGGGGAAATTGACTTCTTTCAGCATACTGTATTAGATTCATCTATGCTACATGTATCAGTTTTGTCCATAGACTATAAGATTTTGTTGCTAAAACCTCCATGTGTTCTTTTGCCCTCTATGGTTCCCATAAATTGAAACTTTTTATTTTTTAATTTATTATTCACCAGATAACCCCTAAAAAAGGCAACAAAGAATTATGTGCTGTCTCATTTGTGGTTACAGACAGACTTTATATTTGACAGTTCAATCAACTTAAAAAATTACAGGGAGGGATAGATAAAAGAAGATTCTGGTCAAAACAAGCTCTGTACTTGTTTTTACTGTTACAGTTTCAGATTTTTTTCCCCCTCCATTAAGTAAGCCTTTCCTCCTACTCTCACACCCATGTAAAAGGTTAGATCTTCTAGGGTAAATGTACAGCCCACTGGCATATGTCTTTTTAGTTATATTTAGACATCTTTTGGGAGAATTTATAAAAGTTAAGCTGATTTCCTTTACTGGGTAGTCTCTATGTATTACTTTTCCTGTTAATCCTCTGCTTTTCTGACTTCATCACTTAGATGAAAAATATTGGTGCCCACAGCAAAAGATATTAGTAAATATTTTGAAGTAGAGACAAGGAAAAGCAGGATCTTAATCTTGCCCTTGGGTATCTGTGGTTCCTGGGTATCCTGATGGATTATTTTTTGTGATTCTTTGGCAAAAAGGAAAATAAAAATTGATTCATCTGCTTATGTTTTTCTTTAGAAAATGCTCTGCACTTCTTATGGCGAGAGATTGTTACATCTGAGGGTTTGAAACTCTACTACAATCCATACACAGGCTGGTAAGACAAAGCTTTAGGTGATTGGTATTGAAAATAAATACCTGAAAGCCAAATGAGACTGGCAGCATATCTATGATAGTATCTCTTAAAGGAATACCAAGTAAAAGTCATGCTGGACATTTTTATGCATTGAATATACTTGGATTAATAGCATTTTGTAAATTTCAGCCAATTAATGCAGTATAATAGATTTAAAGTATATAATTATTGACATTAAAAGATATTGTAATTCTAAATAAGAATGTCACCTTATATGTGAGTTTTTATATTTTTTCATTAAATTTGTCAGTTTTAATATAAGAAAGTTTTAGGGATCATTAAATATCATTAGCGAATTAGTAGCGATTGCCCCTTTTATTCACAGATTAATTAAGGACCCAGAAATGAAGCAGACATGCCCCCTTTAATTATCAAAGAGAAAAAGCGACAGGTAGTTCTCAGTACCACTCCTCTTTCTGCAGACTTAAGTCATCAGCTCAGGCAGTATTTTCATTATCACATTTTTCATGTTTATGATCTTGAGATTTGAATTGTTTTACCCTAAAATGTAGTTTCAACAAACTTAACTTTTACACATTCCTTCCAGTTCTCTTTAGGACAATATAATCTTCATTTGCATTTCTATTATGTGTTTTTATTATTTTATTTTCCTATAGCATTATCCGTGAGTACCCAAATGCTGGGCCACAGTTGCTTGGTGGAATCTTAGCAGATGAAATGGGTCTTGGAAAGACAGTGGAGGTTTTGGCTCTGATTCTGACACATACTCGACAAGATGTCAAACAAGATTCTCTCACTCTTCCTGAGGTAGGAGGAGAACTGTCGAGCTTGGAAAAGCTGGGGACATATGTTCTCAAAAAAGCATCATATGTTAGACATTTGTTTGGCACTCAAGTCAACACTTTCAGTTTACTCTGCAGCTAATGATTTATGTTAGTTAACTTCAAGTGAGTACAGAATGGGATGTTTTTGACCCTGCAGGGTTTTATTTAACTGCTGTTGGCCAACTAGAAAGGGGATTTGCTGTCACCAAGCTTCTAGTTGGCAGAGAAACTTCCTTAGGAAAATACTATTCCTTAAATGTTTGTCACTACAAGTCTCCATAGTACCACTAAATATTTTTAAGGTACATATTTTTTTTAAAGATTTATTTATTTATTCATATAGAACTGGGGTACAGGCCAGAGATGTGGAGGGTGAGAAGATTCACCAGAGATAGAGTGGGGAGCAGAATAGGCAGATCAACGAAGTACACTGCTGAGGGGAGCAGCGGGCGGGTCAGGAGAGGTCTGCCTCGCCATGTGGATCTCCTCTGGGGTGGGCAGGCGGGGATCGAACTCATGCTGAAGTGGCTTAAGCTTCTTAGTGCTGTGCTTTAACCCGCTGCGCCACCAGGGAGGGCCAAGGTACATATTTTTTATTTGTATTAACTTCAGATATGTAAATCTTATACTCTAGTAATTAAAACTATAGGGTAGGTAGCAGAATGGATTCCTACATGAAACAAATTCCTAAGTCCTTGTTCCAAAATACGTAATTTTGTTTAGAAATATAAATTTTAGACTTCACCAAAACAAAACAAAAAAAACTCCACTGAAACAAATGTGGTTCATAGCTTATATTTTTCAAAAATGAAATCTGAAATTATCATATTAAATCATGCTGAAATGAAGCCATTAATAAAGGATACAGCTGTAGTCACCTGCAAGGCCCACTATCCTAACATCCTTCTTAATTATGTCATCTGTCAGTAGGATCATGTTTGCAAGATTTGCCTTTCTTATTTGACTCAGTAGTAGAAAATGCATATTTCCTTTGTAGGAAAATTAGTTGACATATACAGTTTTAACTGTCAGTAACTTCTTTTTGCAACTTTCTATTTAGTTTATATTTTTATTCTAAGCTTTTTTCAGCATTGCTAGACATTGTGTAGGTTAATTTTATATTGAAACAAACCTTAAAAAGTTTCACACTTCACATTCAAATTAAGATACTATGCACAGATTACTGCTCAAGCCAGCTGTAAACTATAAAGTTTTGTATACAAATAGCATATATAGCCTTCTTTTAATTTTTCATGTATAATTGTTACATAAGTTTATATTTCCTTTAGGTATGCAGCATAGTGCCTCAATACCTGTAAATGTGAAATGATCACCATGAATCTTACATTCTTCACCACACTGCTAAAATTTTTTCTTCTAGAAATGTTAATTTTCAAAGTCTTCTGTCTCAACAGCTTTCAAATACACATTATTACTAATTATAGTCACTATGCTCTACATTAGATCTCATGACTCATTTATTATTATAACTGGAAGCTTGTACATTTGACCCCCCAACCGAATTTACTCATCTACTATCCCACTCCTCTCTCACAACCACCATTCTGTCCTCTGTATCTATGAGTTTGGTTTTTGTTTAGTTTTGTAGAATCTGCATTTAAGTGAGAGCATATAGTATTTGTCTTTCTCTGTCTGACTTATCTCTGTTATTATAATGCCCTAAAGGACCATCTGTGTTGTTGCAAATGGCAAGATTTCTTTTTCCATTCTAGTGCATGTATCATAATTTCTTTATCCATTCATCCAACAGTGGACACTTAAATTATTCTCCTCTACTGGTTGTTCTCATATACTGCGGCAGTGAATATATCTTTTCAATATTTTCATTTATTCAGTTAAATACTCTGAAGTGGAATTGCTACATTATATAGTATTTCTATTTAGTTTTTTGAGGAACCTTTGCACTATTTTCTTTAGTGGCTGTACCAACTTGTATTTGTACCTACTGTGTGTCAGAATTTGCACCATCATCCTTGCCAACATGCATATCTTCTCTTTTTTGACACTAGACATTCTAACAGGTGTGAGGTGCTATCTCTCTGTGGCTTGATTTGCATTTCCCTGATAATAATGCTGAGTGTCTTTTCATGCACCTATTTGCCATCTATGTGTTCATAGTTTTTTACAACTCTTTTGCATCTTCTGAATAAAAAAAGGCTTAATTTTAATTAGCAACTCCAAATACTGAGAACAAACATTTTGAGTGACTACTGGATGTTGTTTTTGTCAGGGGAAGGTGGTGAATTATTTCATTCCATCACACTGTTCTGGGGGAAAAGTCAAAAACACAGAAACCCAGAATATGGAATTTGAACCAAAGGAGAAAGTTCAGTGCCCTCGTAAGTACTTCTTATGATACCTTGTTATGTTTCTTGTAATCCTTCGCAACAAGTTCCTTGTAGTTATTATGAAAAATTATTTTTACGATTGTTTATACTTTGAATAAATGGACTCAATTCCAAGTATACCACGTTAACAAAGTTAAAGATTTTTTAATTTGCCCGGCTAGCTCTTAATCAGGTATTTTTAAATTCATTAGTTTATAATTAAAACAGGTTTTGAGTATTCTCAGGAATAGCTACTTCAAGTTCTGGGAAATAAGTGTTTCCCTTATCTGTGGTAGCATAATTGTACAAGTCTTTTTAACATAATTTTAAATAGCATTTGCTTTGTAAGATTAACAAATTAACATATATAATTTTATTTTTTTAAAGATTTATTTATGCATACAGAATTGGGGTACAGGCCAGAGATGTGGAGGAAGAGAAGATAAACGAGAGACAGAGTGAGGAGCAGAACAGGCAGATAGACTGAAATACACTGCTGAAGGGAGCAGCAGGCGAGTCAGGAGAGGTCCACTATGCCATGTGGGTCAGCCCTGGCCAGGGAATGAACTTGTGCTGCAGTGGCTGCAGTAGCTTCATAACACTATGTTCTTTAACCCATTGCACCACCAGGGAGGGCCCAAATTCTTATTTTTGTTACAGTAATTTATTTCTGAATGTGTTAATAAATTATTACATATTCTTCATAATGACTATGCATAGTATATCTTCAATAAATCTTTGACTTATTTTTTTCTTGCATTGTCAGTGCACATTATGATTCACTTGTGTCTTATTTTCTTCTAATTTTAATTATTTTGACTGAGGTAGCTTATTCTTTTGCATTTAGCTACACGTGTGATGATCCTGACAGCTGTGAAAGAAATGACTGGGAAGAAAGGAGTTTCCATTCTTTCCATCTACAAGTATGTCAGTTCTATATATAGATATGATGTTCAGCGGAACAGGAGTCTTCTGAAACGGATGTTGAAATGTTTAATTTTTGAAGGTCTTGTGAAGCAAATCAAAGGCCATGGTTTTTCTGGGACTTTTACTTTGGGGAAGAATTACAAGGAAGAAGATCTATATGATAAAACAAAAAAACAGGTAATAGTATTTATTAAGAAGCTATATGTGATTCTTTAGTTGTTCCTGAAGTTCTTTATTATGGATCATCAAACCAAGATAAAAATGCTCAGTACATAGTAAATAGTCAATACATATTTGTTGAGAAAATTATGAAATTAGTTGGTAAAGTATAACATAGAGTTGAAAACAATTTCTCTGTCTTCATTCTATTGTCAGCAGTTACAATGTTTGCTCCATACTTTAATAAAACTTAACAATACTTCACATTTCCAAAGTTCTTTATGTACACTTTGTATCATTTCCATAAATGCTAATTTTTCCCATGTTATCATGTTATGAAATGTATACATTTGTTATAAAACTTATTTGGTGCCAGTAATTTCAGTTTGCTTTTATGAAAATAGTTACAAATTTTCAAACAAGAAGAGACTAAAGTTAGTAATCAGTGTGATATTACTGTTTTTGCTCTTGTTAAAATAGATGAAGGACTCATTTCCTGTGGTAGAGTATGCAACATTTTATCCTCACCCAGTATAGACTATTGCAGTGAATTTTTGTATTTTTAGTAAGCCTTCCACCACTGAAAAAGTAATTTTTTTTATAGTAATTTGGCTTCATTTATCCTATGTGTCTCTCAATGCTTCTATTCAATCTAAGCACTACTGTCACTTTAGGCAGTGATGCTGGCTCCTACCTCCCTAATACAACCCCTCTCTGTTACACATTCTTTCCATACATTCATATATTGTTTTTCTTTTTTATTCTCTCTTTTCTAGTACTCCCCTTTGAGTGTAAGGGTGAAATACTCATATTTGTATCCCCAGCATCTAACATGATGCCTGGCATAGAACTGACATTTAGTAAATAATTGTAGGAGGAGACTCAGATACAGAGGAGAAAAACAGAATTTATTCAGTAACTGCAGTGGCAAGTAGCTTAGCTTTAACCTTTTTTTCATGATATAATAGCACAAAAAGTGAGAGACAGACTTCAGATGGATTCACTCATCTGCAGTGTGCAAATACATGAAAAATAATTTCACACAAGCAATAAAAGAAATAAGAATTTGAGCTCAGCAAAAAAAAAAGAAAGAAAGAAAATGAAATTTACCAATAATTACACTACCTAAAAAATATTAACCTTTTTTTTTTAAATGTGATAGTGGACCTGCCTGCTGGCACAATGTGTTAGGATGCAGCACTGCAAGTGAGCCTCAACCACTTCAGTGTGAGTTCGATCCCCGGCCCTGGAGGCCACCCAGATTGGTGCAGCGGACCTCTTCTGACCCCCCCCACCCCCCGCTGTGCTCAGCAAAAAAAAAAAAAAGAAGAAAATGAAAGTTACCAATAATTACACTACCTAAAAAATATTAACCTTTTTTTAAAATATGATAGTGGACAGTGCGAAATGCTCAGCAGTGCATTTCGTCTATCTGCCTGTTCTGCTCCCCTTTCTGTCTCTGCTGAAGCCTTTCACCTCCCCTCCACCTCTGACCTGCACCCCAGTTCTGTATGCACAAATAAATCTTAAAAAAGATATATTATGATGGAGGGACTAAAATATCACATACAAAGAGGTTGAATAACTGGGTCAATTTTGGCATAACTGACAACTTGAAGCTCTGAATCCCCAGAGTCTTGATAGCTTAGCAACTCCTCTGCAGCAGCATTTCTTCTCCAAATCTTAAACATGTACTCCTTACAGGGCAGGTTATAGCTGATAGCGCCAATTGTTTGTTTCAGATTTTGTTATTTAGTTTTCACTTTTGCCATCTTGGTTTTTAGATTTTTTATATTTCCAGTATAAAAATAATTATTGCTCCTTTACTAATCAAAAATCCTATCTATTTAAAGAGAAAAGTTTGAATCCATGTAAACCCTATTTTTATTATATATATATTTACTTGGTATTTTATGATTGTCCTAGTTGGTAGCTATATTCTATAAACTGTTAATACTTTATTGAATTAGAACATAATTTATAAAAAATTAATATTAGAATATTAGTAGAATATTATTAATAATATCAGAATTTTAGTATCTTTTTTATTTTTCCTCTTTCCAAATCTTACATGGTAGTTGAGCCATCCTTTTCTATGGAGAGGGTTCTTCATGAGAGCAGATTGAAAGCCACTGATCAGGAGTGATCCTCCTCAGGGAAAAGGGTAGCAAAGACTGGCCACTGGATTTTTATGTAGATCATATAAATAAAGTGGGAGGTTGAAGTTCAAAAAATTAACTTATTATAAATAATACTTTTCACAGGCAGTGGGGAGTCCAAGGAAAATTCAGAAAGAATCCAGAAGATTAGAGACCAAGGACACTGATTCTGAATATTTACCTTCAAACACCTCCGATGATGATGATGATCCTTACTACTACTATTATAAAGCCAGGAAAAATCGTATTAAGTTGAGGAAAAAGCCTAGTCCTTCCTCCAAAAAGGGAAAAGGCCAGCCTGACATCAGTCTCCATTTACAAGAGCACCATCCAGCTGCCAGTAACTCTGGAATCACTGAAGTAACCACATCCAAAAGTGTAGCTGTCTTTGATGTCAAGCAAGACCACGCAGCAGAGGACCAGGCTGAATCTCTAACCCCTGCTAGAGCTGATGCACCACAGTGTAACATGAGTCCCTGTGAGTCCTCTGACTACCGGTTTGAGTGCATATGTGGTGAACTTGACCAGACTGACCGTAAGGCTCGTGTTCAGTGCCTGAAATGCCACCTGTGGCAACATGCAAAATGTGTAAATTATGAAGAGAAGAATCTGACAATTAAACCTTTTTACTGCCCCCACTGCCTTGTTGCAATGGAGCCAGTATCAACAAGAGCAACTTTGATCATCTCACCGAGCTCCATCTGTCACCAGTGGGTGGATGAAATCAACAGGCATGTAAGGTCATCATCTCTTCGCGTCTTGGTAAGGCAGTTTGGGCTCTATAAAAGGATAGGAGAATGTAAATTTATGCTTCTCATGATAATTTTTAAAATCTTTATTGCTTTGTTTACCCCCAAAGCTTAACTTAGTGAGAAAAATATATTTAATCAGAACTTCAAGTGGAAATTGAGAAATAGAAGATTAAGCAGTTTATTTCTTTTTTCCTCTGGCATTAGAAGTTCAGAAATTAAAATACTTTGAATAGAAAAATAAGAATTTTGAAAAAAAAACTCTTGATCATGTAAATGATCAAGTCTTTTTATAAATATACATATTCAGGAATACAGTCCAAAAACAGCATTATGCAGTAATTACCACTTGTCTGGTCTGCCCCCTTCTGAATTCTAAAATCATCATAAGGTTCAGTTACCTCATCTATAACATAAGAATTTACTTACTCAGCAGATACTTATTGAGCACCTATTGTGTACCCATGATGATGCTAAGTTTTGAAAACAGTGCCCCCTAAAACCTGACTTACTGAGAAAATTAAAAACTTTGGTAATGTGCTGGCACGTAGTAGTCATTTAATGCCATTATTTACTATATTAGTCATACTGCTCCATCCTTTGTTCCTCTTTCCACACAAGCTTTTTGCAGATTTTGTATATTTCAGACATTGTCATATACACGATGAATATAATAATAAGTAAAACATCAGCTTTGACATTGAGGAGCTATGTTCCCTCAGGTGGGCAAACTTTGGTTTGAATCTTGTCTCTACCAATTGTGAGCAAGTTTCTTCATGTTACATATGTATGAGATTGGAACCGTAACTACTAACAGAGCTGTTGAAGAGAGGGGACATAGTGTAAGCACAGTGTCTGAAACAGAAAAGACAGTAAATAGTAGTTCTGCATTTTACACTTCATCATACTGTTGTACTTTGTACATGCCATTGATTTCATCTATCCACCTACCTACAAGTCCTTTTTTCTTTTTCTCTACATGTGAAAAAGAATATTTTTCAATATCTACCATAGAATTGGTCTTTACACTGTGAGGCTATCACTATCACATTTACTTCTTTGATAGTTCCTTTCACATTTCTTATGTTATTAGTCTTCCTTACTAAAAGCAAAACTAGGCAGGTTGGAAGATAACCATAGAATGTTTGGTTCTAGACAGTTACTACAGACATAGTAAGGGTTGTAAGCAAATGAATATTTCAACTATCTTAAATCCCTTTCTGTAATAACTCCATCTATGCTGATTTTTTCCTAGGTATATCAAGGAGTGAAAAAAGACGGCTTTTTACAGCCTCATTTTTTAGCAGAACAGGACATAGTTATCATTACTTATGATGTCCTTCGCTCAGAACTAAATTACGTAGATATCCCACACAGCAATAGTGAGGATGGACGTCGCTTACGAAACCAGAAGCGCTACATGGCCATTCCCAGTCCCCTGGTCGCTGTAGAGTGGTGGAGAATCTGCCTGGATGAAGCTCAGATGGTGGAATGTCCTACAGTGAAAGTGAGAATTTCTTCTGAAGATTGGGAAAGGAAAAGGTGGAAAGGATGGAGGGGAGCTATGCTTAGAAAATCTAGTAGGTTGTTGACCAGAACTTTGCTGTTAAACATTCTAGATTTGCTTGTCTTTTCTTATCTAAACCTCTGAATTGTTGCTCATAAGCAGTGTCCATATGTATTTGGCTAAGATGTGTTTATGTGTGATACAGGTTAAAGCACACTGTATTGAAACATTATATTGAAGGATTTCTGCTAAGCAGAAAGCTCCTCACATAGGTTCTGATAGCTTGGGGCCCAAGTTGACTTTGGCATTTTTAACCCAGAGGCCAAATGGCAACAGCAAATGCTACTTTAGGGCATGAAATTTTCATGCAGGCTTTATCTTAATCTCTTTATTCTGTTACTCTGTTTTCTCTTGCTAGTCTGTAACCTGAACTGAATTTATGAGTTACTGCATTTCTATTAGCAGTATTTCACATTTGGAAATTGGGTGGTCTAGGAAATGTATTCGGTGACTCTTCACCCTACATAGGCTTGAGCTATGTTTCCTCTCCAATGTGGCACTTGACAAGCTCCTACATAATAGGGTTTGCTGTCCTAGATGACAGCCCATTGAATATGACAGTCAGCACTGAGTGTGGTAACTATTAAATAAGAGCAAGTACATCTGACCTGAGGTGTAACCTTTTGTAGATTATTTTCATGACTAAACATATCCCTGACTTCTTTAATTTTTCCTTTCAATTTTCTTTGTTTACTGTTATTTCACACTTCTCTCATCAGGCTGCAGAAATGGCTCAACGTTTGAGTGGGGTCAATCGCTGGTGCATCAGTGGCACTCCGGTACAGAGAGGACTGGAGGGTAATGTAGCTTCTGCACAAATGTGGACACTTGAAAAGCTTAATGGCTTTGAAGTAAAAGTATTGTTTGGTTTAGTCTTCACTGAAATTTTCAATTTAAATGTACATGTACAATCGTACATGTGTTTATAGTTTACTCCTAATAATTTCATACACTTACTTTTTAAATGAAAATTGGGTAATTTTTTTGTTTGTTTGTTTATGTGTCAGAAAGCAGATATATAGTGAATAAATCTACATTGAGCAATTACGGTGTCTATCTAAATAATGTAAATATAGGACTGAACTGAACTCAGAATTTTTCAAAGTGTTAGGTAGAAAGTAGAACCTGGGAGGAGGTCGAGGGGGAAGTAGCCAGTAGTCAGAGAAGGTATCCTTTTAATTAACTGTGTTTATCAAAACAAGTACCATAATTTTCACTGAATCAATGAGTAGTAGAAATGGAATTTTATTAATTATAAGAGTTATGAAATATTAATGGCTTTATAATTTCAAACAATATGCTTATGCCATCATTCTTTCTGCCGTTCCTCTTGGATATTTAGATTGTGTCCCTCCCACATGCACATGATAGCTGATGCTTCTACATTACTCTCATTCATATAACTTTCTCCATAGTGCAAGGGCTGTATTTTTAAGACCTTTATAAAGCAAATTGTGCATATTTAAAGCTGAAAGTTTAAATTGTGCATATTTAAAGCTGAAAGTATTATTTTACATAAAGCATTTCCTGAATAACTTTTAAAAGTTAGGTATAAATGACATATATAAACACTACAAGTGTTTAAAAGGTAAAATTTGTAAATTTTTGACATATATATATATACCTATGAATCTATTTCTATATTCAAGATAATCAACCCCAAAAGTCTCCTCTTAGCTTCCAGAGCCCTCATGACTTTTTAACACCATGAACATTTGCACTGTAACTGCTCATTTTATTGTCCTTAGAGTGGGAATGTTAGGTTGCCAGGATTTACATGTTGCACTTGTTTTCTTTTTGTATTAAATTGCTGCTTTTCAGTTTAGCCTCATTGACCTTTCAAACCAGGTTATTCTTTTTTGTTGGGAGCTGTCTTTTGCTCCCAGCAAATGTTTAGCTTCCTCCTACTGGGTGCTACTTCCTCTCCTGCAATTGTGGTACCCACAGATAACTCCAGGCATTGTCCAGAGTCTCATCCTGCCCACATTAGTAAGAACCACTGTGCTATACTGATGGACAGAAATCAGATCTTTATGATTTATTCATTAATGACTACCTGGCCATCTGTGAATCCCAAAGGGACCACATCTCGAGCAAGGAGAAACGAAATAAGGATGTTTTCATTCCATATGTTGCTAGGCTTTTAGTATGTTCCTTCAGACAGACTGTAATCATGCTAGTTTTCATGGAAAGCCAAATAGTTGAGAGCATTACCCTCTCCTGCCCTACACATCCCATATGTATGTGATATACTGTTTGTTAAGATTGCACAACATTGGCTTTAGGGCATAGGTGAACCTCGGTTCACACCCTAACTTCTTGAGTTGTATGTCTGTAAACAAGGTACTTGAGCATAAATCCTTTTCCTGACTTGTAAAATGGGGTATTTCAAAGCTTAATTATAAGAAAGTAAGCAAAACATTTGTCATAATATCTGGCAAACATTAACTAAAGAATGGTAGCTGCTTTTGCTACAACTTTTGTTGTTTTCCATTTATGTGTTCATTTATTTATTGTAGTTTCTTTGTAAATACTGACTTTGAATAGCCTAAATACTTTGTGGTTCACTTGTTGGTCCATTTATTCTTTGTAATATACAATAGGGGGCCAAAAAAGACAAGTTCCCTAACCTTGCTGAGCTATATGTCCCTCACTGTCTCTTTATATATAACATTTATTAAACTTTTAGATAAATATAAGGTCACAATCAAATTAACATTCATATATGAGTTTAATATACAATTCTAACTATAATAGTTTTCAAAAACAGTATGTTCCATGAGATTACTTAATAAGGATTCAGGAGGAAGTGACAACTGAACCAAGATCTGCACATTAGCATGAACTAGGTAAAGAGGGTTGGAAGAATTCTCTAGTGTAGAGGAAACAAAGCTTAAGGGTCATGTGGCAGGAAAAAACCACAAAGGAATCAACTAAGGCAGGAGTATAAAAGGGAAGCAAGATGTGTTGAGAAAATGAGCAAAATGGTATAGACCAGACCATGGAGGACTTTTTTTTTTTTTTTTTAATTAAGAAACCATGAGGAGATGAGGAAAAGATTACAACAAAATGATTAGGATAATCTTACATTTATGTTTATATTTCAAAGGATCTCTAGTGTTTGAGAATGGCTTTAAAGTAGGACAAAGAAGGTAGTTACAAAAGGTTGGTTGCAATAAGGAAACTGATGCTGGTACTTTGGTTCTGGACCAGGGTATCCCGACATGATCAGAGAAAAACATGGGTAAACAAAATGACCAAGGCTTAGTGATAGATCTGGAGATGCCAAGATTTCTGATTTACTTGGCTCCATGGATGGTGACAATATTATGAAAGAACAGCACTATGAGGGAAGCATTTTGGGACAAAAACTGATGAATTTGATTTGGGCGAGTTGAATTGGAGGCCCCCTTGGAGCCCCAAAGAAGAGGTAGCAAAGAAGGAATTTGATTTTTTGAGCACAGTATAAATGTATTGTGTATATCTGCATTTAGGTGATGTTTCTTTCAGATGTTACTTTCAAAAACCACAGTAATTTAACTCAACCTAACTATGTATTGTTCATCTCCAAAACAAATGTAGGTAGGATGGTGGCATATGTTTTAAAAAGAGTACAGAAAAATAAAAGGAAACTAAATTCAGTCATAATCTTAATGTAGCATTATTACCACTATTTCAGACTATTCTGTATAGATGCTAGCAGTCTTCCATGTTTTAAAATTTTATCATAAATAAATGGAAAACTTGCTTAGGGTATAATGTTGAGGGGACCATAAAGAAGAGAATTCTCCTATTTCCTGATTAGAATTTTGTTTCCTAAACCACCAGTTTTATATCAGTTTCTATGCATTAAGCTTCTTATATATCTCTGATCAGGCACACTCAGTTGAATAGTTTTGATGATTTTACTTCTGATGAAAATTTAAGACTTTTGAATTAAGCTCAAGCTTTACACAGCTTTCATACACTTTAAAAACAATTTATCATCTAGCACACAATCTAGAACAAAACAAATTAGCTTTCAGATTCCAGAGCCTGTGTACTGTGTAGTATCAATGAAAGTAGTTGCTCATAATACTAGTAAGCTATAGATAGAAATTTATTTTTAATGTGCTTTTTGTTTGTTTGTTTCAGACCTTTTTGGGTTAGTGGTCTTTCTTGGTATCGAACCTTACTGTGTGAAACACTGGTGGATCCGACTTCTCTATCGCCCTTACTGCAAGAAGAATCCTCAGCATCTCTACAGTTTCATTGCCAAGATACTGTGGAGGTCTGCAAAGAAGGATGTAATTGACCAGGTCAGTAGAATATGTTTTCATTGATTAAGAACAAAGAAAAGTTGAACTGAAAAACTTTACTTCCAGGTAAAATATTTTTTGTCCTTTGTACAGATTCAGATACCCCCTCAGACAGAAGAAACCCACTGGCTGCATTTTTCTCCAGTGGAGAGACATTTCTATCACCGTCAGCACGAGGTGTGCTGCCAGGATGCAGTGGTCAAACTCAGGAAGATTTCGGACTGGGCCCTGAAGCTCAGCAGCCTGGACAGAAGGACCGTCACCTCCATCCTGTATCCGTTGCTGAGGCTCAGGCAGGCCTGCTGCCACCCACAGGCTGTCCGGGGCGAGTTCTTGCCACTCCAGAAAAGGTTTTATTATCAGTTTCCTTATGCTGCAATTTATAATATGATAGTAATAGAAATATTTAAACTATTAGCTTCTCTACCCACAGTTTCATTCAGATTCTAGTATTGAGTTGTTGATTATTTTTAGCTGTAAGTTGCTTTTCTCTGGCATAAATCACATTTGTTAAAGAGGGTCAACAAGGTCTTGGTGGGAGAGAAGGGAAGCTGCTCTGTAAATATGAAAGACTTTGTTCTTATTTTTTTTTTGGGTACCCACTTCAGGGAAATAAATGAATTAGATGATTGTTAAATATTTTCCTTACAGTTGTATCTTTTATTTCTTTTTCCTAAAACATTAAGGTATTTATGTCCATAATACTCTAGAGTCCCAAACTTAATCCCACAAAAAAATTACTTTTTATGCTTCTGGATTTTTTTAGTACCTGTTATTAAAAAAGTGTTATAAAAATTACAAAGAAATTGATTTTTTCCTTGAGTTAAGCAATTTATAGACAAGGGAGATGACCAAGATTATAGATCTTAGAATGTGAAAACAGTTTCTGTGTAAATATGTAAGGTTACACAGGCTACTTTTGTAAAAATGCACTTGACCTCATCCTTGGAAACTTACTTCTTTTTTACAGATAAAAAAATTGAGGCACATATAGGTTAATTAAATTATGACATAGGGATTCTACCTCTGTCTTAACATTCTGACTCTCATATATCATTTGGTATGCTAAATTTTTTCTAACTCCTTTCTACATTGAATGAAATGGGAGACAGTATGATGTGATTACAAGAATGTTCGCTAGAATTGTAAAAAGTAAAACTTACTAAGTTAAAAGTGATAGAGGTATAATGGAAGTGAAGAGAAAGATGCTAAAATACCACAAAGACTGTTAGAGTTTGAACTCTGGATCTTTTTTTGTTGTTGTTGTTGTTAAAAATATACTTATTTATGTGTACAGAACTGGGGAGCAGAACAGGAGGATCAATGAAGTACACTGCTGAGGGGAGCAGCGGGCGGGTCAGAAGAGGTCTGCTGCGCCATGTGGGTCACCTCCAGGGTGGGGATTGAACTTGTGCTGAAGTGGCTTTAGCTTCTTAGTGCTGTGCTTTAACCTGCTGGCCACCAGGGTGGGTCTAGTACTCTGGTTCTTATGTGGCAGTACTTTTTCTGGAATAACACTTAGAATTTTCTTTCTAGTTCTGAACAGTCTGTCTTTTCTTTTAGCACCATGACCATGGAAGAGCTGCTGGCATCATTGCAAAAGAAATGTGGAACTGAATGTGAAGAAGCACATAGGCAGCTAGTTTGTGCTCTCAATGGTTTAGCAGGCATCCACATCATTAAAGGTAGAAGGTGATTGCTTTGTTGTCTTTGATTCTTCACATACATAATAAGGAAGGTTATTTATAGTAGAAATCAAAATCCCCCAAGAAAGACATACACTATTGATCATGTTTTAATGAGTTCAACCTTGGAAAATAATTTTGCAGAATATTTTAAAAATTTCAAAGTCTGTAAAGGGCTTTGACCAGACATTTCCATTAATGGAAGATTTTTTAGGACACTTAGGATGTGAATAAAGATTTCGTTACATTCTCTAGCTACAGTGAAGTTAAATTAGATATCAAATAAATATTAGATATCAAAATATCAGAAAGAAAACAGAAATACCAATGTCAGAAAAGCAGGCATGGAATTCTTCTTAAAAAATTAAACAGAATGCATATCCAGAGATACATGAAAAGGCTAATGCATTTTGATTAAGTACCACATATCCCATGAATAAAAATTGGTTTAAGGTTAAAAAAATCAAATGATATGTAATTCACTGTATACCAACTAAAAAAGAAAAATTGTTTGATCATCTCAATAAATGTAAGAAAAATATTTTGCAAAATTTGAACATTCATTCCTGTTAAAAACATTGAGCTATTTAGGTATCAAAGAAAACTCTCTTTAATCAAAGATGTCTATAAAAACACAGGTAATATTATGCATAATGATTGAAAACTGAGTACTTTTCCTATAAGATCACAAACAAGTCAAGAATGCCCCTCACCACTTTTATTCAGCATTGTATCTGAGTTCTCACCTGTGCAGTGAAACAAGAGAAAGATGTTATCAAATTCAATATGAAAAAAAAAAATCTTCATTTTAGTTTATAATTATGTGGGAAAGTTACTATAACCAATAAGTGAGTTTTGCAGGATATGAGTAAATATAAAATTTATTTTATTCCTATGGTAGAAATTAGCAATTACAAATCATAGCATCATTCATGAAAGTTTCAAAAATACATACAATATTTGGCATTAATTTGGAAAAATGATGTCTAAAGCCTATTAAAAAAAAAGAAAAAACTACAAATGTTGCTGAAAGAATTCATAGTTGTGCATGGTCATGGACCAGAAGACTCATGATTACAGTGCTGATCTATCTCAACTTCAGCAAAAAATTGGGAAATTATGTATTCTGAATTCTCACAGGTCCAATTTTTTTTAGTAAAATAATTGTGATCAAAGTTTCCATTACACTTGAGAAGTATGTTAAGAAATCTGTATGCTAGATCTTAAAAATTCACAAATAACGAATGCACTATTTAAAATATTTTAGGTCATTAAAATTTAGCAGCATATCTGAGAAATAATTTTTCTATAAGCATTTTATGTTATGCCTCACACTTTAGCTACCTTCTTTGTCCTCATAATTGCCCATTGATTGAGTGATTAACATCCCCATTCTATGTAAGATAACTAGATTTCAGACAAGATTATAACTAACAAGTCAGAATTTACACTGAATTTAATTTCAAATAAAATATTTTTGCTGCTATACTATCTGCTTAATCAAATAGACATTTATAAACCTCATTGTGATATCTCTAATAGTAAGTTGAAACTGTTGAAAATTTCTAAAATAATACATTACTTCCAAATTATCTTAGAATCACAGTAAAAATTTTGTATTTCCCATCTTGAATCTGAAATTGCATTCCCCATTTCATTCCATATTTCTTAGTAGTCAAAAGCTGAAACAGTATGAATGAACTTTGTCTCTCGGCCTTTTTCTTGTCTCCTTTTCAGATTTACTGTCTCCTTTCCCTGCTGTGGTGTTTTGCTTGATATGGGATTGGGAAAAGCATCTGATCTCTTTCAAACACTGTAGCACTATACGAAGAACAGTTTGTAGTTGGCTCCTTTTATGATAAAAAGGATCACTGCCCTTTTCAGATTCCTACCATAGTTGTTTGTTTTTCTATTAATGGAAAGAAACTATTGATGTTAAGAAAAATTGCTATTAGGAAATCCATTAGTAGAGGATATATATCTAGTCTGAATTTAATTGTAAATGTAATACAGTTACATTAGATTTACTACTTTTTTTACTGTTGACCTGTTTTCACTTTTTAAAGTAATAATGTACATAATTTGAGTTCAATCATTATAGAGATCAGAGACTTCTAAAATATAAAATTAGTTTCACTTTCTAGAAGTATTTGTTTACATAATATGCAAATGTATCTATGATATACATCACATATTCTAAGTTCCTTACTGATAGTAGTATTTAAAACATGGTATTATTCTGATTTTGAACAATGTATAATCTACACATATTTTTTGAAGAAAATTAACTTTGCAGCATCAAGGTCAGTATAATTCGTTTACTTGGAAATGTTAGTGCCATCAAGTGGCAAAGAATGGTTATTTCCAAACTTAGCTTAAACTTAGTGAACATGCATAATTTTTAGTTTTCACAGAAAATGTCCTTTTTCTAATGGACTAAAGAGGAACAGGTATTAAAATGAATAATTATATTATTTTTTTTATATTACAGTCTAGTCACTGTTCTCCCTTTAAAAGGTGTGGTAATTACAAAGGGAAATTAGTTAAGTAAATGTTCTCTGAATAATAGTATAAATACTAATAGAATCCATGTCTTTTGAAAAGATTTTCAAGAATCTTTAAAGAAGCTCATTATACAAAGATATATGAGTATTGCTCATTAACATTATAATGTCACTATTATAGTGACTAGAAATTGCTGACTGTAAGCACTATAAAATGTTTTAGAAACCTTTGTTTTCGTTAAGTGCTGGATATAGATATCAAGCAATGGTATTTTGTACAACAGCTTATTACCACTGAACTAGACACTTAAAAATGGTCAAAATGGTAGATCTTACGAATACATATTTATATATCTAATCAGCTTTAACCAAAAAAAAGAACCAAGAACAGAATTTACAGATACTATATGTGTGTATATATTACTCATTTTAGTCTATGAACAAAGTCCTAAATCTACAATAGTGATAAAAATAGCTTGAAGTAAAATAACAAACTCAAGTGTAGATTAAGAAAAAGGTGGTCTCAATAGCTGTACGTCTATACATTATTTTTTTTTATTTCATGGTTTTACCTCTGATAGACTTTTAATTGTATTTCTAAATTAGCAGTTTTGAGCTTTTCCCTTAGAAGCAAATAGTTGGTTCCATTCTTCAAGCGACTAGAAATTCATTCTTTCTTCTCTGAAAGAAGCAGATAATAAGTAGTTTAGGTTTTATGAGCCATAACATCTGTTACAGATACTCAACTCTTATAGTACGTAAACAAATGAGCACAACTAAATTCCAATAAGACTTTTTTCACAGACTTAATTTTATATAACTTATACACATCGCAAAATATAGTTAATTTTTTCAACTATTTAAAATGTAAAACCTGCTAACTCATCAGCCATACAAAATTGCACGTAGTCATATAGGACCTATGACCATAGTTTGCCAAACTGTGTGCTTTAATTGGTTACTAAATTCTTCGTTTTAGTAAACTGCTAATCATAAACAATAAATCTATTGTAAATTTCAGATTGTGATTTATATGACCAGAAATGGAAAAGAATACCAAAGTTTTTGGAGTGTAGTATTTAGTTGCTGTCTTTTTTGGCTTAATATCAAGAACAGCAATACCCATCAAGAAGAGTATATAGCTTTTCTGAAAATTATGTGTAAACTGGTCATATGTTTTGAGTATTTGTTTATGTATAGCTATAATTACCCAACTTTGCCTTTAATTTCAGATGACAATTAGTATACTTGGCACCCTTTGGCTTCAATAAGAAAGAGTATCAATTGTGTAAATTCAGAGTTAATCCAGTGTTTGTTTTTTTAGAGTAATTTTAAACAATGTAAATATATTTCATTAATAATCAGTTCTGTGGAATTAACCAAAAAAAGAACTGTCATCAGTTTTAATGTATTGGGGCAATCATTTATACCAACTTAAATTCCTTTTTAAAAAAATGTTTATTTGAATCATTGTTAACAGTTTTGCATTGGACTTGTTTATATGAGCGATTTGTAGATGTTACTGGGGGCTAAATACATTATTTTACTGTACTTTAAATGCATTTTATTTCTTCAGGTGAGTATGCTTTGGCAGCAGAACTATACCGAGAAGTGTTGCGTTCATCTGAGGAACACAAAGAAAAACTCAAAACTGATTCACTTCAAGTAAGTAAAATCTTAACAGTTCTAAGCATATATTTTATCGATTTTTTACAGAACACTTTTTTTGAATATTTAAGAGGAGAAGGTATAACAAATGGGCTGAATTATAATTTCTTTATTTTTCCTAAAGATTTATTTATTTGTGCATACAGGAGCCACAGTGTAAGCCATAGGTATGAGGGTAGTCAGAGGATTCACCAGAAACTAAGTAGGGAGCAGAACAGGTGGTTTGACTGAAATATACTGCTGAGGTGAGCATCAGGGGTGATAGAAGAGGTCTACTACACCATGTGGCTCACTCCCTGGCCAGGGATAAAACTCCTGCTGTAGTGGCTTGCAATAGGCTCATAGTGCTGAGACTTAACCCCTATGGCACCATGGAGGCCCCCTGCCTTATAATTTCTGGGGATGAAGTTTGGGATTCAGTTCTTTTAATAGAGCCCATGGTGATTTGTAGATATACTAAACTTTGAGAGCTACTAACATTCTCTGTGCTCCGGCCATTATTGGACATGAACAGACTAGATAAATCTAACCTGTTTGGAAAACAAAGTAATTGTACTGTGAAGAGTGGGACCATTTCACATGTGAGCATGAATATATTTACTCATTTATTTCCAAAATATAATGAAAGGGAATTAAACTCAACAATGGAAATAAATAATAAAAACCTGTCCAGTGATTTTTATTAGAATTTGGAGGCCTATGGAAAATTGCATATTTGAATTATAAGACTTATTTAACTGGTAAGTCATTTCTCTTTGGTTCTTTTCAGTGGATTGTGAAGATAAAACTATGTTAGTAAAAAAAAGTCCACTTTTTAATTCCCTTTCATTATATTTTTTTTTCCATTATATTTGAGTCCCAGGTAAGGCTTCTACACCACTCAAATCTAAACCTCATGACCTCCATGTTCACATTGTGCCTCAGTAGGTTACTAGGAGGAGTTATTAGGGTTACTTAGTGTTATTAGAGGTTATTAGCAGTTTATTAGGGGAAGAAGAGAGAAAAGTAAAAGCTGTTCTACCTACAGTCTATGATGATGAGGATTATAGAAGGCAGGCCTGTACCTTAGTCAGATGTGCTGGCCTTGTGCAAGGAAGTACAGAGGCTCATGCTCCAGAATAAAGAAAACAAAGGTAGAAGAGTAGGCAGGGTGAGGTACATTCTGTAAGCTTGAGTTGAGGAGTAAAGAATAAACTACCACCATGTTTCTTGCTTCTGAGCAACAGTATTACCCACCCTACTTGCAAAGTGTGGCACGAAATGTCTTGTGCTGTCTCGTCACAAAAAGTATAAGGCTGTGGAGCGAAACAAGTAGTTCCCCATCCATTTCACCTTTCACCACTTTGTATAGAAAGCAACACAAATCCTCTTCTACAAATGCAGATAGAGAAGCCAAGTTTCTACAGTTTGGTTTCTCAAATATTACATATTTGTTGTTGGTATTAAATGCTATGCTAGTATTACTGATTATATTATCTAAGAAAGCCATGTTGAAAAGACCAAAGACATTTGAGATAACTCTTCAGAAATTATCTCTGCAAAGATCTACACCATGGTTTAGTCTGTAGCCAAGCAGAGCAACCTCTGTGGTCTCTTTTCACTAGCATCAAGGCAGATCCTCACAGGACTATTTCTCAGTTATCCTTTAGGTCTTACTATTTTCCCAGGAAAATAGTCAAGTTAACTAATAAAAATTAATCTTAACTTTTTATCTTCTTAGTGCTCTGAGAGTACGGAGGATCCTGTAATCAGTTATGGAGGTATTATTACAGTGAGAAGGCTGAATTATGTTTAATGCAGAGATAAAAAATACAGTTTCTTCTCCTCCCTGCATGCTCTTTATCTCTAATCCCTTCACTTTTCTTTTAGCCCTTAGCTCAACAGCTCTAGATCACAGACCAACTTTTTTATGTATTTCCCTTACTTTTTTCATAATGTCTGTAGAATCAACCTTGGCTATTTTACTGAACTTATTTAAAATATTCATAGTTCCCTCTGTAGACAGATCATGGATATTAGAAAACATGGCTTAATTACATATTCTGCTAACTATATAGGACCTATTTACATATTTTATAATTTTATGTTCTTCAGAAATACATCATCAGATCATATTTTTTTAAAGACTTAAATTTATGCATTCAAGAACTCAGGTACAGGCCAGAACGGGGCATGGGGAGAGGTGAGAGGATTCACCAGAGGCAGAGTGGGGAACAGAACAGGCAGATCTACTGAAACACTGCTGAGGGAAGTAGCAGGTGGTATAGGAGAGGTCTGCTGTGGCATGTGGGTCAGCTCCCTTGCTGGGGATCAAAGTCATGTCTTCATAGCACTGAGACTTTAACCCCTGTGCCACCAGGGGGGCCCTCAAGATTAAAGAAAATTTAATGTCATTTTGAATTAAGATCTTTACCATAAAACTGACTTCAGCATTCTCTGATAAAGTTTTAGTATTCACTTTGTTATAGAGGGGAGGTATTCAGTGCTTAATATGATCTCAATCTGTAGTTAGTAGTCTGTTTGCTAGTGTTAATAAGAAGTTCTCCTGTAAAGCCCCTTCATTAACTGTCATAAGTCTGCCTGTTTTGCTTTATAGAGACTTCATGCTACCCATAACTTGATGGAATTATTGGTAGCTAAGCATCCAGGAATACCTCCTACCTTGAGAGATGGAAGACTTGAGGAAGAGGTAAGGCAGACTTGAGGAAGAGGTAATTAATGTTTTTCTCTCTGTTAAAAGTATTTTTTTTCAGACCCATTAATCATTTTAATTGCTACTCCTAGAACATACAACATTTAAATGAAGGTAATCATGTTTTCCTGCCCTTTGACATCCCACTTTATTGTGCTAATTTTGGATAGTAGAAAATAGCAATAGTCCATATAATTTTGCTTTTCTGATATTTTGCTTGTAGTCATATGCTAATTGCTTGTTCTAGATGTGACTAACCAATATCACAGAATTTAAATAAGCAACAAATAAATATGGAGACCTTACTGATACCATGCAAATCTGAAAAAGTTGTAGATTAATAAAAAATAACAGCTTTTTTACTTCTTCTGCCCTTCTATGTATTAATTCAGCACACCAGAGTTGTCAGTTTTCTTACATCTTAAGAAAGTTCCCTTTGCAATGAAACTGTCATTGTAAAAAGTGATATAAATTATTTCACTTTAAAATTTTAATAGCTCATTATGCTAATTCCCTATGGAATTTTAACTTTCTAAAAATCAGAAAGAACAGCAAAGCTGGAGTCAAAAAAGTAGATGCTTGAAATGTGTTAAGCCCATAAGTGAATCCTTATGAGTCAAGAAAGATTGTGTACCCATGGACAGCTTGACTGCATCCTGTTCTTGATGTTCAATGGCAGTCTAAGTGTTAAATGTTTCCTAGTGAAACTTTACTTCCATTGTAGGCATTGCATCCTTGCATGTGATATCACTATTTAATTCCTGTTAATGACAGAAATTTGCTGAGACACAGCCCATCTATGAGCAGACAGCTCTAGTGACCAAATAGTTGTGACCAAATAATTTTAATAGAAATTAATTAGAAGATTGTGATGGCAAAAGAAGAAAACACAGTATGTGGATGAGTGTTCATACTATATAGAAATATTTCCAAGGCCACATTATCACTTTGGCCTAACTTTTATCGACTGTGAAGCCACACTATTTCAGTAGATCCTGGAAGCCATCTACTTCAACCACCTACTTTTGTAAATGAAATAACAAAAGCCCACAGAGCTGATATGGGTAATCTAAAGATAGATATGTGGCTAACTATGGCAAATTATTGACAATATCATGTCTCATCCAATTACTTAATGGTAGCACTTGGATATCTGGTTCAGTCTTATTAGGGTTTAAGGTTTCATCATTGGATTTTGGGCAAACACAATTCATGACACTTGTGTCACTCTGTATTCTTAAGTAGTTTTAAAGCAAAGTAAGAACAAACTATAATAGCTAAATCAGATAGATTTGGAAAGGTATCCTTGCTTTGCTTCATTAAAAAGTAAAATAGAACTTTTTACCCATTTAGTTTGGGTTTTCTTTTTTTTGTTAAAAGCTAGTTAGATTAAAATTTGGAGAGCAAACCCATGGTTTGTTTCCAATACTGTCAATTACGGGTAAAATGTGTTCACTGCACTATATCTTAGACTGTCTAGCTTGGCTCTTGGGCTCCTCACAGTGTACTTGTAGAATTTTATTCTTAAACTGGGCTAAGTAGCTTTAAATAAATAAATGACCCCATTATCCTTGAATTGTCATACAGAATTATTTCTTAGACCAGAATAAAAGTTTACATTTGTCCTGTTTCAATACAGGCCAAGCAGCTGCGAGAGCATTATATGAGCAAGTGTAATACAGAAGTGACTGAAGCACAACAAGCGCTTCAGCCGGTGCAGCAGACCATTCGTGAGCTCCAGAGAAAGGTGTGTCCTGAAGTGCCATCTGTGCTTGTGTTTTTCTCCTGATAGCATTTTAGATTTTGTTTTGGCTTGGACAGAAATTTGAACTTTCTTTTCATCTTGAAGTTTTTAGCACCAATGCAGTTCCTGAGCCACAATAAAAGGTAATTTGGTGTTGGTAGTCTTTGTTGCCTGAGTAAACACACATATATATAGATGAACCAACTGTTCTAAGGTTATTCTGCATTTGTTTAAACTTAGAATACATTTCCTCTTGCTTTGGTTATATATCATCTTTTGAATAAAGTAAAAATAAAATTTTTATGACTTTTTTTTGATTACATGTATGTGGTTCCAAAATCTTTTTAAGATGTGAAAACTTTAAACCCACTAAGTTTTTGTCTTACGGATTACATGCCATTTGTTATTTTTAAAATGTGTCTTTGCAGACCATTAGTATCATTGTCATTTAACTATTTGTTCCATATTTCTTTCTTCTTAATTCATTAGTAGTTTGTATTCAGGAATCTAATTTTATTCAGTGATATAGATTATCCATGGGTTAGACTTTGGTTCAGTTAATCAAAGAGTAAAGTGAAATCTATTTTGTTGAGAAAAGAGGCTAGGTACCTTTCATATACAGTTAGTACTGAATTTTTACTTAAGTCTTATTTTTCAATACAGCTTTATTACATATATGCACACAATAAATTCTCATTCATCCACAGTGGACAGGAAACAGGTGTTCTCTTTAGTTATGTATTCAGATGAGATACTCACCCACCACATATAGAATATATTTTTCTCCTTGTAGCTGTAATTCCTTTGGGAGGCATTTATTGCTTCCTTGAGTTTTCATAACTCTTTCTGGTCAGTGATGGAAACACAGCAAGTACAGAAAAAAAAAATTAATTTATCAGCTAATTGTCTTTCTTTACAGATTCGTTCCAGTTCTCCTTGGTGGCTGAATGTGATCCAAAGAGCAATAGAATTTGCTGTTGAAGAGGAGCTTGTTCAGCGCGTGAGAAATGAAATAACCTGCAACTACAAACAACAAACTGACAAACTTTCTATGTCAGAAAAGTAAGAAAATAGTACAAAATAATATAATCATATTCACATTATTTGATATTGACAGATGTAGTTTACATATTAGAAAATGTGGTATAAACACGTAGATTTTACATTTCAAACAAAATCAGTAAGTATAAATATAAAAGGTAAATCTTTTTTCTATATGCCGCTCTTTTTTAGTCTTTTAGACATATTTGTTTTTTCAATGCTTTCCTCCTTCCCACTCCCCCTTTTATCTGCTAAAAGTATTTTCTTTGTATCTTTGTTGGACATACCCAAAGCTAGCTTTAAGCACATACTTTAAGCTAACTTTAGAGAATATTTGCAGTAAGGTATTCATCTTCATATGTGAATCATTCCTTACAAGCTAAGCATGATAGTGCCACAGTGACCCAGTTTTATATTGGAGAGTTTCTCTCTCTCTTCCTCATTATCCATTTTTCATTGGGATCTCATCTATAAGTTTATTGGATTATTGCTGTGGATTGATTAAATGGTGAGTAATTCTTCCTGAAGAACAAGTTTACTTCTCAGAAATACACTCTATGGTTTAACAAACATAGGAATATCTTTCACCTGTGGGAAACCTAGGTGGTGTGGCAGAACTTTAGATTCTAGCTAAGAGGGAATGAGGAGCTATTGCTCCTCAGATCACCTTCAAGTCCAAGATCAAAGTTGGAGTAAATGTTAATTTTTAGTGAAAAATTCAGCATAAGAATATCTTTGAAATGTTTTTAAGTGTTTTCATTTACTCCTCAAGATTCTCCAAGTTTACTAAAATCTTAAAGAGATAGGCAAAATTCTTCGTGCATCATTACTAAGTTGGATGTACTTTATTACAATCATGATCAGTTTTTAAATGAAGAACCTGATAGGCTTATTGTTTATGAGATACTTGAGGTGTATTTCCCCTGTTAAGCCCAAGAGTCACCCTGCCAAGATTTGTCACTTAAGCCTTGACTCTCCTTTTCCCAGTTTTAAAGTATATACTAATATTTAATGCCAACATTGTAGATAAGAATTTTTTTAAATAGGGCCCTCCCTGGTGGCACAGTAGGTTAAAGCTCAGCAATGAGAAGCTAGCTGCAGCCACTTCAGTCGAAGTTCTGTTCCAGGCCAGGGAGGTGGCTCACATGGCTCAGCAGATCTCTCCTGTCTTGTGCACTGCTCCCATCAGCAGTGTATTTCAGTAGATGTACCTTTTCTGCTCCCCGCTCTGTCATTGGTGAATCCTCTCACCGCCCCTGGCCTGTTCTCCAGTTCTGGGTGCATAAATAAAAAAAAAAAAAACCTTAAAAAAAAAAAAAAAAGAATGTGTTTAAATATTTTGAATTTTTTAAAATTGCACAGAAACTGGCCCTCCCTGGTGGCGCAGCGGGTTAAAGCACTGCACTAAGAAACTAAAGCCACTTCCACATGAGTTCAATTCCCGCCTGCCCCAGAGGCAACCACATGGCGAGGCAGACCTCTCCTGACCCGCCCACTGCTCCCCTCAGCAGTGTACTTCGTCGATCTGCCTGTTCTGCTTCCCGCTCTGTCTCTGGTGAATCCTCTCACCCTCCGCATCTCTGGCCTGTACCCCAGTTCTGTACAAATAAATAAATAAATCTTTCAAAAAAAAAAAATTGCACAGAAACTACTTTCTGATATGGGGAGTTTTGTTTCCTCATATTGGAACATATGCCCTGTTCAGTGTTTTGGGGTCCCAGAGCCAGTAAGAAATGAAATACTTCATTTTTGTTACACAAACACTCAACATAAATGAAAGTGACAAGACACATTTAAAATACAAATATTTATACACATTTAAAGTGTGTGTGTATATAGATATATACACAGAAAATTTTTACACTGCTACTCACTGCTACTGTTTTCTTTACTTAGATTTATTATTTAAATTGATGTCCCAGAAGCCAGAGCACTTATGCATGCATGTTAATGCTTCTTGGAAAAGGATATGGAACTTAATTTTTAAGAGCACAAATGATTACTTGAGTCCACTACCTTTTGTTCATATTTTTGTGTTTATACTGCTTATAGTGCTGTGATTTTGGGAAAGCTATGTAGCATCCTTGTAGCATCCTGAGCCTTTCTTCAAATCCACACAGCATTGTGAGCATTAGTAAATTAATTTTTGTAAGTGCTTATTTAGATAGTACCTGTACCATTTAGTACGGTGCTTATGAGCTACCGGTTTTGTTTAGTTTTTTCTTGTCATTTAAAGACCCTGCATAATAAAACATTGCTAAGACTTATTATTAAATGCTGTTCCATGATATCTTTCAATCACTAGTCACATGGCTGAGACTTGAGTTTGTAGAAAAAGTTTTTCCAAAGCTGCTTCATCCTTTCAGTTCAAAAGTTAATTTTTGAAAATAAATTACTGAAAAGTAAAAACTTTATTTTCATTTTGTGAATAATACTGATAGTTCACCTAATTTTGTTTATTGTCTTTATTCAGATTTTTTTAAAAATAATTGAACAGTTGGTAATTGTTTCAATTGAGTAATACAATTGTATCTATTATGTTTTTTTAAGCTGTATTACCTTATAAAAGTTAGCTTAATGATAAGATGAATAATTAAAAATTATGAATATGTATAAAAATTGAACAATTACTATATTAATGATATCTTCAACAAACTCTATGAACAGAAAGATACAGTAGAGTGTAAAATACTGTGGAAGCCTTCAGAAAGGACAGCAGGCTCCTTTGAACACTTTGGAGAGGAGGGTCTGTAGCATTTTAGGAGAAAAAAGATACACTTGTAATTCAAAAGCAAACACATTTTGTCTGTATTTTCCATTTCCTAATTTCTTGTAGGATTTCTTTTTTTTTTTTTAAATAAACCCATAGATACATGCATATGTGTACATCCAGTTTTTTTAGTCCATTTCATTCACAGTTTATAAGAACAGCTAAATGCATTTGGTTTAACACCTAACTCTACCATACATAGTAACTTTGTAACTTTAATTATATCTAACTCATTAAGCTTCATTACTAATATGACAACATTATCTATTATGATAATACAGGGAGTATTTGGCATAGTGCCTGGCATATAGTAATGCTTAAAAACTCATGCATGTGTGCATGTGTGAGTATGTGTGTTTATATGCCTATGCACGCAGAGTTGTCTTCAAGGAATACATGTTGGCTTTATTTTTCCCTCAACATTTTGTCTCTATTTTCCATCGTATAGTCACCTCTTCCCATAAAGCACGGATGTCACGAAGAGCTTCCCTGCTCATTCAGCATTAAAAAGAGAGAATGTGACAGTTCTGATCTTTCAAAGACCTCTGACACACAGACATGGCTTTTCTAGAGTCTTTTTCAATTTCTATGGTTAGGAGCAATTAGATACTGGAATACTATGGTTAAACAACTGAGTATTCCTTGTCTACTTGTAGATATTTAATACACTGCTAAGGTAAACTCATTCAAATTGTGATTAGATAAAATGTCCCACAGTTTCTTTATTTGGTAACCATTTTTTGATTTGAAGATATTAACCTGCTAATCACTTTTCTTGTGTTGTGTGTGGTGCTGGTGATGGGAATCAGGTTTCGGGACTGCAGAGGTCTTCAGTTCTTACTTACAACACAAATGGAAGAGCTAAATAAATTCCAGAAGCTAGTAAGAGCAGCTGTAAAAAACCTGGAGGGACCTCCATCTCGGAATGTTATTGAGTCTGCAACAATTTGCCACCTCCGGCCAGCCAGACTTCCACTCAACTGGTAGGTCATAAGAGAAAACATGGCATCATTCCATTAAGTTAAATTACTTCTTAGAGAAGAAGGGATGGTTCATATAATAAAACTTTTTTCATTTTATTTCAGACAGAAGTAACAAAAATGGATGTGTTGTTAATCTAATGAATCACTAAATTACATTTTTTTCTAAAATGGCATATTATAAAGGAAAATATAAAGTATAAAAATATTAAACCTCATATAGAAATCACCTGATTACTAGCTGTGTTTGTGACTATTTCTCTAATAATCTCTTCCAGCTGTGTCTTTTGTAAGGCTGATGAATTATTCACAGAGTATGAATCGAAGCTTTTTTCTCACACGTAAGTTTTCTAATTACTTCTTACCAGGAAATTGAAATATTTTATGACTTGTTTTTTTTAATTTATTACACTATATTTTTCCTTAAAATAACTTTCTTACATATTTTCTTTTATTAAACCAACTCATTAAACTTTGGTATTTGTCCTTTGAATTGCTCAGCTTTATATATGCAGGAGTTAACACCAGATACTCATGTCATAGTAATTTGTAATTGAGAGACAGTTTAGGGAGTGACAGACTCTTGAAGCCAACAGACTGGAACTCAAATTCCTAGTAACTATTCAGGGCAGATTATTTCTAAGCCTCATATCCTCATTTGTTAAATGAAGATAATGCATACATTATTGTGTTTTATAAATATATAATAAAACCCACATGATTGCTTAGTACAGTGATTGGTACATGGTAAGTGCCTTACAAATTGCTAGTTTTCATTATTAGTACACTTTCTGAAACACAAATTTTAAGTCTTCTTGTATTGGAAACTAAGCTGTTTTTGTGAGTGCATATAACAATGGCATTAGTAAAATTTTGCCTATTTTAAGAACACAGAAACTGATAAAAAGCTAGTAAGTTCTCATTACCTTAAAAAAAGAGACATTGATTTATATTGTACTTTTAAATCATCTTTTGTTTATTTTGTTTTCATGGTTGGTGATAGTAGTTTGTGTTTTATATTGTTTTAATTCTCAGAGCGAGAGGTATAGCTGTTTCTTATTATGCCACACTGCTTTCAGGAAACACTGGTCAAGCATTTTCAGAATTGCTTGTAGTCTTCCCAGAGATGTATAAGCATGATCTTATGGTCATAATATTGAAAATTATTGGAAAAACTTTCACTATTGACCTTGTTTTCCTATCGACTCTGCCAGTAATATTTAACAATTCTTGTCACTCACTGAGAGCAGTAACTATTGTTTTTGTCTTGTATGTCTTCAGAGTCAAAGGCCAGACTGCAATATTTGAGGAGATGATAGAAGATGAAGAAGGGCTGGTTGATGATCGAATTCCTACCACCAGCCGGGGTCTATGGGCAATAAGTGAGACAGAGCGATCAATGAAAGCTATCCTATCATTTGCAAAATCCCATAGGTTTGATGGTGAATTCATTGATGAAGGAAGTGCTTCAATGGATCTCTTTGAAGCATGGAAGAAGGAATATAAGGTGTTATATTTTACAACTTTGTTCTAATATTAAAAAGTTATCCTCTTTATATTAACTTTAATTGTAACCCTTTTCTCTTTCCACTTTTTTAAAGTTTGCTCTAGAGTCTTGAAGTGTTTCTCTTTTCCTAAAATATGATTGTTATGAAGAATGGTAAACATTAATGAAAAAAATAATCAATTTTAAGAACAGGAAGACTTTTGAGCAAGACACATCTTGGTGGTTTTAACCACTTTTAAATATGTGCTTTATTAATGTCTTTGTCTATTCCGTTCCTCCAGTTGCTTCATGAATATTGGATGGCTCTGAGGAACCGTGTGTCTGCTGTTGATGAGCTTGCAATGGCTACAGAACGACTAAGAGTACGTCATCCTAAGGAGCCAAAGCCCAATCCACCTGTTCTTCATATCATTGAACCTCATGAGGTAATTGCAAGGAAATGACAGAAGAGAGCACAGCAAATAGATGTCACAGAGACCTGCAAGACGTAGATAAAGAGTCCCTGTAGTGATCTCTCCATATCTGTTTAATCTCTACCCAGCTTGGGCCCATTAAGTTGTTTGATTTTGTTGGTCAAAATTGAACAAAAATAGTTTCATATCTTATACATGCTTAGCACTTTGAGATTTTGGTATATTCTTTATTTCTCTCCACATTGTATATACATCTATTTTTGACCACTTTCTTTATACCAGAATCTAAAGAAATTCTTTAACACCTATGTTCTATTACCTCAGCTTTTTCAGAGCTAGAAATATCTTCCTTAAGCAAATTTTCTTTTGCTTTGTTTTCCCTTACTGATGAGCAGATGTTGACGAGTTATCTTCTCTCCACAAGTCTGTATCAGGATTAAAAATAAACAGCTCCACCAAGCCTTTCCACAGTAAAATATTTCCTCTATAATTTATTTTCATTCCTTGTGTTTAATTTTATAAAGCTTTCTCCTTCTGTAAAGCTAAGAGACAATTATCTTTAAAAATCTGAAAATACTATCTCCTAAAAACAAATTCTCAGTAAGTTTGTCTGTGAAAACAGATTTCTCATTTTATACTCCTTTTCAGACTACTGTATTTTATTGGAGTGATAGACCATGAGAGTGAGACAGAGAGTCTTCCATGCATTCTGGGCAAAGTAGTCATACCATTTTGATTTTCCTTATCCCAAGGGTATATTAATTTAAAAAAAAAAATGGTGCATAAACAGAATTTGTGTGATATTTATCTCACTTCAAAAGTGTAGAGAATCTTCTTATTTATACAATTCCGTATTGAATTTTACCTATTATAGAACAAGAAATATTTCTTAAAAAAAAAAAAGATTTATTTATTTGTGCATACAGAATTGGGTGCAGGCCAGAGGTGCAGGGGTGGTGACAGGACTCATCAGAGACAGAGTGGGGAGCAGAACAGGCCAACTGAGGAAGTACACCACTGCTAAGGGGAGCAGTGGCGGCTCAGGAGAGGTCTGCCTCTCCATGTGGGTCACCTCTGGGACTGGGTGCAGAGATCGAATTCATGTGGAAGTGGCTTTAGCTTCTTAGTGCTGTGCTTTAACCCACTGTGCCACCAGGGAGGGCCCAAGAAATATTACTTCTTGAAATATATTATCTAGTATCGATTTTGTGAATTTGAGTTTTTCATGTGTAAATAAGTTTTTCTAAAATAGGAAACATTTTTATCCTTGAGGAAGAATTGTGCCTGTTTAATGTAATTTTACCATTTTCCTGAGAGAATAAATTGTTTTGTTTTGGTTTTTAGGTAGAACAAAATCGTATAAAACTGCTAAATGACAAAGCTGTTGCTACATCACAACTTCAGAAAAAACTTGGGCAGCTTCTTTATTTAACTAATTTGGAGAAGGTATTGTTTTTAAAAGATGCTACTTTTTCCCTAAGCTGTATTATCAGTAAACCACTTTCCTGACTTCTCCCAAAGATGATGGTATCTTTAAATGTGTTACACAGATTATATAAAGATATGTACTGAGGTAGTATAAGATAAAGTAAGCAAATTGTAGTTCTAACCTTAAATAATGAAAGTACTACAACCTACCTGTAGGCAAGTATGCATTCAGTAATGTGACATAGATTTTTTTGTTATTTAAAACTAAAATGTGTTTAGAAAGCTACTGAATCAGAAGACATGGTAATGTCTGAATTATGTCATGTAATCCACAATATATTTTATGAATAATGAGCTAAGTATTCTATTGGACATTGATGAATATAATTTCATGTTATCTAAGTACAAGTGGCATTTGGCACAAAGTACCCTATCAGAACAAGATACCATAATTTTTGATTAGACGTGTAACTACTTTTGTACTACAGTAGTGGAGTAGTGGCACAATATTTGTGGTTAAAGGTTCTTAGGGAAAAAATACTAATTTTTGTATTAAATAAATTAGAAAAGACATTATGCATTATGGTAGATTGTTTACAAAATGCTGCAGTAATGTGCTCTCACATTGATTCTGGGCTCAGTCATATGGCTTGCTTGTAGCCTTGTGACACAGGCAGAAACCTAGAAAGTCCATGCTTATTGCAGCTTTCCCAACTTGTTCCTCTTTGCAATTCTAACACTATGTGAAGAAGTGCAGATTACCTGAATCCTGTAGCCCCAGCAAAGTCAACCTAACCCCAGATTTTCTGTTTGACCTGTAGAATTCTGAACAGTAAATGTTAGTTATAGACCATAAATTCTCAGGTGATTTGTTACATGTTTTCTGAAACAAACAGCAAAAGAACAATTTGGTTCAACTTTTTCACTTGCCTGCATAGCTAGGTTTTAGTTAATGGAATTGTCTCAAGCCCTTAGAGTGGCTGAATCCATGTTTTGTTTTGCTCACTACTTTAAAAAAATCAAAAGATAATCAAAAACAGTTTTTCAGAGTGACTGTTTGGTTAGTGAAACCACAGACCTAAAAACTTTATGTGGCTAGTTCACTTCTTAAAATCTTTCTACCAGGTAACTTTTTTTGAAGCTCATTCAGTTTTTGAAATAGTTTTAAAGAGATTTTGAAAAGCTGTTATACTTGAATATAATTTCTAAGCATAAATACATCTCAAATCAGGAACATTGCTGTTTTCTAATTACCTTCTTTGCCTTAAAAAGGGTACTGAAAAGAAACTATTGTTAATAAGGAGCTGTGCGTATAAATGCCATCTTATCTTGTGTCTGTAATCTCATGCCAAGTAGACACACAGCATACATATTTTGTTTTAAATACTGGGCTTATAATTTTGCCTTCTCTGGTAATCAAAAATAATGTAATATAATTTTAATTGTAGTAAAAATTGTTTTGTTCACTCCTTAAATAAATGTTTATAAATTACAGGAGTGGTAATACTAAATAACATGAATTAGGTTATTCAAATTGCAGTCACCAGCATTAGCGTCTGTAAATGAGTCATTAAACATGTAACTGTTTTTAAATTGTAACTATTTAAATTGTAACTGTTTTTAAATTGTAATTCTATTTATTAATTCATTTTTGGATAGTCTCAAGACAAAACATCAGGAGGTGTTAATCCAGAACCTTGTCCAATCTGTGCTCGGCAACTGGGAAAACAGGTGAAGATATCCTAAATGCTTCTGGCATTTATAAAATACTTCATAATTTGTAAAGATTCTTTACAAATACTTTATTCTCTCTCTGTACCTCTAAGCCCTAGTAACTCCTCCATATATAATTTAGAAAATCTGCCATTTGTTCTTCTGTTTGAGTTGGCTACTTGTCACTCTGTGCTCTATTGCCACATTTCTCAAGCTTCGTCTCCATTGCATTGTACTCTTTGTGTTGAGCTTGTCCATCCTGAGCTTTCATGAGCCACAGAAGTCCTCCCAACTAGTGAACATCTTCATCCCTGATGGTTCTGGAGGTACACACATCCAGTCCAGAATACTGCTGCTTTTTGCCTAGAAAACTAAGCACAAGTGAAGCAGCACCTTCATTTTATTCTAGCCTCAAGTCCTGAGGCTGACACAGATCCTTGAGAATAGAGGTGTTGCTGCTAGAGAACAGCATGAACAGAATCAGCCAATAAATCCCAAGAGACTTTTTTCCCTCCTTAAGAATGTTTTAAGACCAAGCTCATTTTTCTCTTCCTTTAGTGTGAGCTTTTTTCCAAGGTACTTCTCAGTCTATCCTCCAGCTCTTCAGTTTTTGGGGTAATAGTTTTTTAACCGGATGATAAAGGTTAAATAATTTACATAAGATGATACAGCCTCTAGCACAAACACCTAGACTAAAACTAGTGTTCTTTTTCTGCCCATTACAAAAGACAGAGAAGTTTCCATGGTATACACCAAAGATTCAAGACTGTTGTACTTTTCATGAAATCGCACAAAGGATTTTTAGAAATACCTTTTTATGTATTTATCTGGGGGAGATGTGACTGTGTCTAGAACCATTTTAAAATAAATCTGTTACAAGCCCATTCATCTTCTGTATAATTAATGCCTTAATGTGTGAAAATGTAGACATGCTTACTAAGTTATTTGGTATATATTGAGTTTATCATCTCTATCAATATTGCATTAAGTTTCTCTGTTGTATCTGGCATTAGAATGTTAAAGTAATATCTTTTTTCCCAAATACTAAAGTGAGAACACCCATTTCTTACAAAATAATAGTCTCTGAATGATACTATTAGAGTAAACAGAACAAAGGCTATGAAAGCTTACTCTGATTGGACTACAAAGCAGTAATTATAAGTTACTGTTTAGCTTTTATGACTTAAAAGTGAAATTGACAAAGTGAAATTATTATATCTTTTCTCTCTTAATAGGTTTATAGGGTTGAAATCATCTTTGATGCATTTGACTGAGGCCTGTTCTCTGTTTTCTTTTTTAGTGGGCAGTACTAACGTGTGGGCACTGTTTCTGTAATGAATGCATATCAATTATTATTGAACAATACAGCGTGGGATCTCACAGAAGCTCCATCAAGTGTGCCATCTGCCGCCAAACCACATCTCATAAAGAAATATCGTATGTCTTTACCTCAGAGAAAGCCAGCCAAGAAGAGGACATCCCTGTTAAGGTAAAGTAGGTTAAGAACAGGTAGAACTTAGTCAGTGCAGTATGATAGGAATTCATATCTTAAAATGAGAGCATCAAAATCAGAACAAGACTAGCACAGTGAATATGCAGCAACACTATTATCTGTACGCCTGTAGAAAGCCTCAGCTTTACCAAATGCTCTTTGTCAGAGGAGCACAAAAATGCTTTTTCAAACTGATGAAAAAAGACATACCCCCTGTGGCAAAAGTAATACTGTAGAACTCCAGATTATCTTCTAGAGAGTTATTTAAAAACTTTTCTCCCCCTACTCTTTTATTCAGCCCAGATACCAGAGGAAAAAAATGATATTGGCAAAACAACTGAAGGGAAATAGATTGTTTACTAAAGTTAGTGAAGAAGGAATCTGTTTTCATATAGCGTGGATGAATATTTTAGTATATAGACCAAATTTGGCTGTATTTACCTGGTTTTTTCTTAGACTTCATTTATAATTTTAAATGACTATATTTTTTAAATCCAAACAGAATCTGTAATTGAACTTTGTACCTGAGAAGTATTTATTTAGTGAAAAGTCTTCCCTAGATATTTTTCTCTTTGTTTTTCTTAAATATTCTTATTTTTGTTCATTATCAACTTAGACAAAGTACAAGTTTGTTATGTAAAAATAGTAGCAAATAAGTCAGAAAGAAGAGTTGGGAGAATAAAGGGGCTATTTCTAAAGCAAGAGGAAGTAGGATTTTTTCCATTAGTTCCTTCTATTTCTGGGGCCGTGGTTCTCTCCACTTCTCTTTAAGGATTATAGCTTGTATGCTTAACTACAAGTTAAAACTGCTGGAAATAAGGCAATTCTGCCTCCTGAAAAAACTATAATCGAGTTAAATACTACCTAATTGCTGTTTATTGCACTGTTATTTGAGTAAAAACTGAAAATATCAGTCACACCACTTTGTAGTGTGTTGAAATCAAGTAAATTCCAAAATTGGAATGAACTTTGGTTCAGTCATTCCATACCCATCTATTGAACACATACTGTGTACCGGCCAGCATGCCGGGCCTTACATGTACAGCACACACTAAAACAGAAGACACAGTGGCGTCCACTCATGGGTTTTTGAGTTTGATGGGGAAAGAGTCTTTGGGTTAGGCAATAAGCACAGGCATTACATTAATAAATTAAATGTAATAAAATTTTATAATATAAGATGTAGTAAAATTAATATAAATAAAATATTATATAAATTTATATGTAATTTTTTCAAAAGCACTACAGAAGAAAACCTGGATTTTCTAAGGGAATGACAGCTAAGTAGGTTAGCTAAAGGATAGCCACCCTCAGGAGTGACTGGAAGTATCTTGTGAGGAGGAGGCTGTTGGACAAAGAAACACAACTGTACTTGTCTCAGGTCTGAGACAAGAAGGAGCTCACATGAAGTTGGTGGCTGCAATTTAGAAAGCACAAAGGAACATGGAATGGAATGAATCTGGAAACTTAGGAGGTACCAGATTGAAGGGTCAGCTTAAGATTTAAAAGCAGAGAAGTACTTTGATCAGTTTTGAATTTGTAGAACAACCCTCTTGCTATAGTATGGAAATTAAGTTAGCAGGAATAGAAAAGAATAGAGTCACAAAAACTGGGAGTGATCTGTTCAAGAGCAAGCTACAGTAATGATGACAGCTTTGGCTAGGTTGGTGGTGATGTAGATAGAAGGAAGTGGATATATTCAAGAAGTATTTTGAGTTAAGGTGATTAGGAAAATAGAATATAAGAGGGCTTGATGAAGAAAGATTCCTTACATAACCCCCTGGTTTATGATATGAAAATTCAGGTGTAGGGCCCTCCCTGGTGGCGCAGTGGGTTAGGACGTAGCACTGCAAGCTAGCTCCAGCTGCTTCAGCGCGAGTTCGATCTCCGGCCCTGGAGGTGATCCACATGATGTGGCAGACCTATCCTCTCACCACCCCTGCACCTGTGGCCTCTACCCTGGTTCTGTATGCATAAATCAATAAATCTTTAAAAAGAAAGAAAAATCAGACATACACTGGAACAGTTACTGATAGGTGTTTGGAAGAGGAGTTAATTTAGGCACATTCTATTTGAAATAACTAAAACATTCATGTAGTACTTTCTGGCAAAGTATGGACAGATGGAGCTGGAGATTTAAAATTCATTGCTGTTTAAGTGATCTTAGAATTGGTAAGGGTGAGTGAGATTACTTAAAGAAAGCAACAGAATTTACTGGTAGATCAGGTACAGCAGAACTCGATAGTTATTTGAAGGTGAAATAAAGGGGAAGAGGTTGAAAAAGGAGACAAAGTAGCAGATAGTATAGACATGAGTGATCCAGAAGAGTATGTGCTATAAGCGGAGGCTGCAGAAGCATTACTCCATGAAGGGTGCAGTTGTCAGCTGTATCTGCTGGTACTGACGAGGGCTCAGTTACAGCATGGACTGATTTGGCCAAGGAAGTCACTGATGACTTCGGGAAAAATACAGGAGCAAGAGTAAATGCCCAAGCATTTCGTAAAGTTAGCTGTGTGGTAGAAAATTCAGAGCTGTAGCCAGAAGGAAATAGGAAGTACAGAAAGACTATGTTGGGGACTTATATTATTTTTTTAAGAGAAAAAGTTAGGAGCAAGCTTAATCTTCAGCAATGAATAGATTGAAGGTATAGGAGAGAGAATGGAAGTCTGTAGTAAAAATTACTTTAAAAAGCAATGTTGAAAAAAAAAAGCAATGTTGATAGATCACTTTGAAAACAAATAACAGATGTAGGTTGGACTGTTGAGTAAAAAAGCTATAAGGGTAGGTGCCCTTATAAAGAATGTGTGGTTTTACTAGTCATTTCAGAGAAGACAGGTATGGAGTTTTCCAGATGTGATGATAGAAGTGGGTGACCCAAGTGAATTGGAAGAAAACAAGCATAGAAGATGAAACATAAGACCTGACTATTGAATGGGTGTCAGGTAGAGCATATATAATATTTAGAGTTGAAGTGTAAAGTTTGTGAGTTGGGTACCAAAATTCTTCCATGGATGAAAGATAGTGTTCAGTAAGTAGATGACAACACAGGGTAGAGGTAGGAAATAATTGGGCTTCATAAGACTTGAAAGAATATTTACAAAAATATTTACAAAAGTGAGAAATAATGATCAGAAACCTGCCTCAGGACAAAAAAAGATACCAATGTTCATATGCAGTGAGTATGAGAGACAGCCTCGTCACTCAAGAGGGCAACTGAAAAATAGTATGCAGTGGATAGCCAGGTGCTGATTAAAGCAAAGAAGTGGAGAACAGTATTTCTACAATAAAAAAAAATAAATTACAATCTTAAAGCACTAGTTGAAGGGTGGAAGAAATAGGAAATGGAAGGGTGAGTGCAGGAAGGAACTGCAGAGAATATGAGAATAACAGGACACTGGTGGTTAACTGATAAGAGGATAGTAACTGTAGGGCTCATGTAGTCTTCCCCTGTGAATCCCTGTGAAAGTGGGTATTTTTAAAGCAAATGCCAGAGGGTTGCTGAGTGAAGAGGAAGACGATTCACTAAGGGTACATGACCATCCCTGAGGCATTTGATGGTTAAACTTTAGCCTGCTTGCCACCCCTTCCCACTGCTACAGCTTTTTCTTCCTTTTCTTCCCATTAAAGTAATCTTTTGTAGCCCTTTCTACATCCTCTTCTCTCTCCCTCTGGCCTTGGGCGCCCTAAGGGGCCGCAGATGGCATTGATGGTTAAGAAGGGCTGCTGACCCTTAGAAGAAAGCAGACATCCCAGTATGAGAAACAAGTAAGGAAGAATTGCTGTGTCAGGCTTCACGCAGTGAGTTTAGGAAGTGATTGCTCTAGCTACCAGTAAACAGCACTGCCTCTGTGGAACTGAGTCACTGAGCCCATCAAACCCAAACACCTGTTCATTTTATGGCAGCTTTCCTAGACACCCAGAAGAGAAATTCAGGACAGTTAACATTTGCTGTCCTCTGGGGACAGAGAAATCAGTGTACAAAAACTGTTCATTATGCTCAGACTTCTTCCTGCCTTTTATGGATATTGGCAAGCACGAGAACAAAGAGAAGCTTTTGAAAAAATTATATAATTACAATATTTACTATAAAGTTCCTTTTGTCAGTGATACATATATCCTTGCATATCCTTTTTATTAAAATTGACTATTGCACCTACTATGCAAGCGTTTTTCCCTCTTCCACATTCTCACATTGCTTCTTGCCATGTTTGCTATTATTTCTCGCTCCCTTTTCTGTCACCATTTCTGTCTGCCACTTCTGCCTTCTGCTGCCTGTCCCCTTTTCTGACTCTGTCACATTTTCACAAGACTGTCTGCCACCTTCTTCTTGAAGTATCTGCTTGTTTTCTCAGGTTCCCACTATACTCCTTGGCTCTCTGGAACTGTCCACCTGAATGGGCATCATCCATCTTGGAGTTGAGGGAGTGGTCAAATATAAGATAAAAATGTCACCATGTCAACATTTAAGGCATTATTCTGTAATTTTAGAAATATTACTCAAAGATTTCCTAAATCAAGGGAGTTTTTCCTTTTATTGTTGATTGTCAAGTTCCTTGCATTTTACTAAACAATCCTGAGAAGTAATTTTTTATTTTATCAGAGGTTTTGTAGTTTGCTGAAAGGTTTATTTCATTCTTAAGTTTTCATGTCAAGACTCTTCATCATAGCAAACAGTATAATATATATAAGACATTATACTTAATTATCTAACTGATCTTGTGTGCTTGGAGACTATAAAAATAGTACTAAATAGTACAAGGTATTGGTATCCTATTTGGAAATAGGAAATTGTACAGTGTAAGGAATCCTATTAATTGACCACAGAAATAAAATAAATATTGAAATCACCACTGTTTCTTTTAGTGGATGTAGTTAAGATAAAGACTGTATCTACCCTACCAACACAGTGGACATTATTCCTAAATGACCCTTGGAACCTACTGAGCATTTCACAAAGTACACAAAATTCCCCTTGCAAGTTCTGACAACTGCCAGGC